TTATGAAGTTTAGTAGATATTGTTTATTAACTTAATTTCATTGTGCTGATGACATTTCTGGTAATATATTCACAGATCCTATTAAAGAGGTAATGTTAAAATTTGAAGGTTTTTGTTCAGTGGAGTGTGACTTTAACTAACCATTGAAGAAGTTGTGGAGAAGTGTCTTAACAAAAGATTCTTTAAGAAAAACAACGGCGATACCAATAAAGGGGAAGAGAGAAACTATTTGTGAGATTCGAAAATAGAAACTCTGGACTATCATGCCATTAACATGCAAGAATTCTCAGACATGTAATATACATGAGTATTTGAGATTAAGAATTTGTTTAGCTATTTTACAGAAAAGAATGAAATCCCCAGATTTTCTTAAAAACAGGTATAAGTAATGTCTTTTTCACTCCAAAAAGCACTATTATTATCATCATAATAATTTTTATAGTTTATACAATCCATTTATCATTGTTTCTGGGTAGTTCTCCTTGTCTCTGTTCCAGTTGCTTTGGTTTGCTTTGGTTTGCATGCAGCATTGTAGCACAGATGGAGATTACGTTCTTTCTTATTATTGTATAACTTTAGCATAGATTTTAAATGATTGAAACGTTGAACACATCTTCATTAGCTAGGAAAGACAAAGTTAAAACACAGCTTTTCCACCTGCTGACTTACGAAACCCTCATTGGATTAATGTTGCATTAACCAAAGTCTACCATGGCAACACATTAAAAATATTTTGAGATGGTTGAAATCTCCTATTATTACCAAAGTTGCTTTGAGTTATCTTAGAGAATAGCTTTTAAACTTCAATTGACCAATACATAGAAACCAAGCCCTTTTTTGAGAGTAAATATCATTTAGCATGTAATTAAGAATAGTTAGCACTATGGTCACACACCATTTATGTCATGTAACAATGACATAACATTTAGCTCTGGTATTTAGCCCATCCAGATGACAGACTATGAACTGGACACTTCTGTTCCTTTACAAGTAACGATGTGTTTAGTTTCTATAACAGCACTGCAAAGTAGTCATCTTGTTATCCCAAGAGTGACATGCCCAAGGTCACCCAGCTAGTCAGAGGTGAAGCCAAGATTTAATTCCAGAGGTCTGGCATCAGACTGTGTGCTCTCAACCATTCTCTGCTGACAAATACCTGGTAGGCACTTCTAGGTGTCATGTGCAATGCTGACAAGAGAAAATGCTTTGTTTTCATGAATTTAGGATTTTCTTTTTACAATTGAAGTTTGAAATCTATTTTGAATTTGAGCGACATATTTGAAAATTTCATTTGATTGAAATCTTCTTTTAAAAAAATTACATTTTATGGACTATGGTGGAGGATAATGTGTGCTTTGGTGGTGGGTATGGTATGGAAATATACATCTAAAGTGATGTGACCTTATATCCCTAAATCAAATACAGTGTTTTATACCAGTGTTATCTCAATTAAAATAATACAATTTAGAAAATCTACATTTTATATCATCTTTAGACTGAAAGCTAAAGAACTACCTTCTTTGACCACTTTTAAGCTACTTTATGAAGTCACCTTTTATCTGGACTGTGTTGTTACTATTAAAATCAATTATTAAAAAGACTAAAAGAATTCCTTGTCCAACTTGGCATCATTTGCTAATACCACAAAATTTTAGAAACTCATGTTCTGTTAATTTCTCTTTCCTTGGTTTATGTCATTGTGCCCTTAAGGGCATTATTTTCATTAATTTATTATCCATCCATCCATCCATCCATCCATTTAACCAAGCCTCCTCTAAAATTGGCAGGCTGTTTCCAGCCCTGCAGTGGGTTTCCACAACACACAAGTAGCCAAACCAGCCTCTGTCCAATCTCTGCCCTACCCCATCAGAACTATTCCTGGGCTACTTTCATTATTGTGGGCTGCATACCAATTGCATGCTCTGCAATCAGGATAGAGTCGGAAGAAGCCATTCTAGTCCCTGGAAGCAAATTTGGGGCTGCTTGAAGTCTCAGAGAATGGTTTAGAAGTGAGGAGGATATATGTGGCCTCCAGGTTAACACCTCCCCTTGGATCCATGGACTCCATGCTCCAGTGAGTGAAGCAGGAGAAGGGCAAAAGGAAGTCCAGTCAGGCTCCCCAGCTCTGTGGGTGACTGCGTTCAGTAGAGTCTCCATGTGAGATGATGTCTAGGCACTGGGGATACATTGAAACAAAGTAGACAAAATCCTCATGAAACTTAGAGTCTAGTAGAAATAGACATGACTTCTTTTACATTTTATGCTACACATAGCATCATGCTCTGGCAAATGTATTGTTCAGATGTGTGTTTTCATATTGAGAATCTTTTGTATAAAGCACTGCATTAAAAGGAAAAATATAAAGGATCATTTCAAGAGACTCAGAGGCAATAATAAGTTGATGTTGCTTCTTATCTCCCTGAAAAAATAACTTCTCAATTATGCTGTGAATGATCAGAGAGGACATTCTTATATCCAGACTTCAACAATTTACTCAACAACATGTATTGGGCACCTCCTTTATGACAGACTTGAACTGAATTATACAAATTACTGAACAAACTCGGCTTCTTTCTGGGCAATAAAGGCCCTTTATGTCTAATGGGATGTTTCCCCATGAAGACTGTGTGATTCACAGAACTATAGGGATCTGAATTTATGCTGGGCTCTTCTTATAACCAGCTGGGTGAAGTCTTGCTGGAACTCATTTCCCTCCTTGAGAAATAATAGGCTAAAGTAGCCCATAAATTTTGTTCAGATTCAACAGAAGAATCATCTTCGGGCTGTGAGGAAGAATGTTTTTATCCACCGTTGCTCACAGTAATGAGAAAGGAAACATGAAAAAGCACTTGGTGAGATGCATTGGGCATTCCCTCGGCTCAGTATCTCACCACAGTTAGTGTGTTCAGAAGTGCAGAATTCATGCCCTTCCCATCAAGCATTTAAGTATACACTAATTCTACTAATAAATGTCTCCCTTATTTTAATACTTCCACTATAGCCTCATTTGGAAAATAAGATGACATTAAAATGCTTGAAATTTAGGGGCTTCCCTACATTGATTTACAGGCTGCCCTTGAAGCTGAGCCCAGAATAGAGAGGCCACACCATGGATTTGCAGCAATCTTAGTGATGGGGGCTTGGAAGAAAAGGGCATGGAGGGAAGAGAAAAAATGGGTAGAGAAAGGTTGATTTTATATCTAGGATAGACCCACAGGTATATTCTTTAACATAATTTTATTTATGGACCTAACATATAAACATTTGCCACTTTGAAAACCTAAGCTGTGAGAATGAGGAGTCTTGAGTGAAAGCATTTCAGGAGTGATTAATATTTTACACCAATATATTTATCAAATATAGGTGCATTTAGGTCAGCAATTGAGACTTTTCATATGGGCAGAGAGGTTCCTAATCTGCTTGCTCCTAAAGTCATTCTTTTAATGCCCAGAAAAATAACTTTTACTTTTCTTCTTTAACTGATCAACTATGACTCCTGTGGGAAACAATTCAAATTAGTTCCCCCCTATTGATCTCCCCTACTCCCTCATTCTCCTCATCTGTGTTGTAGTGCTGTGTTGTTGGGCACTTCAAATGTGACTTGTGCAACAGATGAATTTTTTTTTTCTTTTTCTTAATTTTACTTAACTCAAATTTATATGTAAATAGTCCTATGTAGCTAGTTGTACCACATTGGACAGCACAGCCGTGTTGTATCATGTTCAAGTCTATCCTGTCATTTCCTCCAACTAGGATTTTATACTTGTTTTTTTGTCTCCACAATGCTTACTACAGGATTATGTATATGTCTTAACTGTAGGTACTTTATGATTTTGCTTGTATTTTAAAAGATCAAAAGAATGAATTGCCTTCAACTATAGAGGGGGTAACTGCAGTCTTAGTCTTCATATATGAACTAGATAACTAACTGCAGTTATCTTTACCCTCCTATTTGTATAGGAAATATTTCTCAGGTCTCCTGTATCTAATTATTCTTCACATATGGGGCTAGACTCTGGGATTATAACCATGGTTGTGGAGAGAATCTCTGTCCTCACACACCTTGTAATTTAGTGAGGGGAATAGAAAATTCAACAAACAATTGTTGGTTGCATCTTAAGTAGTACTTGTTATAAACGTCCTGTGTATAGAAGCCCTGAATCCAGAAAGATCTAAGAATGTCACCCTAAATTTTCAGATTCATGTCAGAATAGGTAGCTTACCTACAATTGACATGGCTAACTATTAGAAAGCTTTATTTTGGTCACTTGTAAAATCAGAGTAATTTTAAACACTACAGCCCCAAACCAAACATGTTCACTTAGGGACTTTTTTTTTTTTTTTTTTTTTTTACAAAAAAGAATCCCAGTCTTCAACACCCCTTTAGAAAACAATGTAGCAATGTCAATGTCATTGTCTTTGACTTAGCATTTACATTTGAGATGACCATCTAAGGAAGTTATCTTAAATATTATGGGAGGGAGAAACACATTATAAAAAAAATTATTATTTCAATTATTTACAAATTGTAAAAAATATAAAACAACATAAACATTTGACAATAAAGACTTAAGAAATCTAATCTAAGGTATTTTTCTATGTACTTGTATGCAGTTGGTAAGAATGATGATTATGAAAAATAAGATAATAAAAAACAATAAATGTCGTGAAGCAGTGTTTGAAAATTCAGGACATAAGATTTTAAATATGGTTTGATTATAACCTTACAATTCTTTTATAAAAGAGAAGGAAAGAAAACCACTTGCTCCTCCAAAATCTATACTAAATAAAACTCACTGAAGAGGAATATACAAATATAAATTTTAAAATCATTATTTTTAGACTTAGAAGCTTATTTCAAATCACAGAAGCAATTATGTTATCTTTGTAATTGAGTTTGAGAATCATGTATTAATTTCCTCTTAAACAGTAATTCTGGAATCCAGAAGTTCAAATCAATATCACTGGGCCAAAACAAGATGTTAGTAGGAATACAATACCTTTAGGGGTTCTAAGGGGAAATCCATTCTTTGCCTCTTCCAGTTTCCGGTTTCTGCTGGCAGTTCCTGATTTGAGGTCTTATCATTCCAGTCCCTCCTTATGTGGTCACATTGTCTTCTCTTCTGTAGGGCCAAAATTCCCCCTTCCTTCCTCTTATAAGGACATGGCTGATTATATTTAGAGTCTACTCAGATCATTCAGGATAATCGATCCATCTCAAGAGCCTTATCTGCAAAATCCATTTTGGCCTTATAATGACATTTGCATTTTTCAGAGATTAGGATGTGAATATCTTTTGAGGAGCCATCATTCAGCCTGTCACTGATTGTAATGCACTAACCTTTGTTTTGCAGACCTCACAATGGCCTTGGTGAGGCACTTTGAGCATAAAGAAATTGAGTGGTTGTAATGGAATTTTGGGACCTGCTTTTTTGTTTCATTTTTCTCTTTTTGATCAGGTAACAGTTTACAACACCACACAGATTTCAGATGTACAGTTTCTCACTTCAGCAACTGTATATATCACACCATGCCCAACCAAAGGATCTACTTTTGGAAGTGATTTTTGAGTAGGGAACTGTTCTGTTGTCTGCCAAATCATATTATGCAAGTTATCTGTTATTTTGCTTCTATGGAAGGGATATACAGGTGTTCATTTATATTTTCTCACTTTAGATTTAAGAATTCAGGCAATATGGGTATCAATATACGGGGAATAGAGAACTTAGAATTCTGTAACTAGATTTTAAATGTAGTTCAAGTTAACTAATTCATTCATTCAATAAATGGACAGGGTGTATCCCAAGGACCAAACTCTGTCTGAGTCTTGGGAAATCAGCATCCAATTTTCTCTGTATTGATCAACCTGCTTGCCCAACATCCCTCAGGAAGAATCAGTGACTCTCCATTATTTCTCTTCAGTCCTTGTATAAAACCCCATGATCACTCTCATCACTTGAAATCACTGGCATTTGTTCTATTGGTCCATGTTGACTCCTCAGAGATAGTAATTGTCTTAGTTCCTTGGATCCTGGGCACCCAGCAGCATAAATATAGCTAGATGGTGAGAATGTGTGGGATGGGGCTTCCCAAGAATCACTTTAGGCAAAGGATCCTTGTTATTTTATTACATGTGGAGACTCCCTACAGATGCTTATTCTTTTTCCAGGGTTCTCTTCCCGGATTATTTCTTTTCCCTAGATGACTGCTCTTATCCTTTTCATTTGGAACCTCTAGGTGTTGTTCTTTCCCTTTCAAATTGCTTATTTTTTTCTTGTCTGTTTGCTCAGGTCTTTGATGCAGAACTAAAATGTGACTCATGATAGACAATCTATAGCTCTTAAAGGCTGTTTGTGGAAATATTTGAAGAGGAAATACTTGCAAGAATGCTATCACTCACTTCCTCCTGACTGACAATCTCTTTCAACCCAGCTCAATAGTGATAACTAAAATCCTTCCCATGATTCCCTGGGAACCCACATAGCACCACCCTTAGACCAAGCAAGTGGGATCCCTGCTTCAGACTCCAGGTCTGAGGAGTCCCTACACTTTGAAGTGTCTGTTTTGATATTTTCTGAGACCCTCTCCAATGCCCTGGACTGGTTTGGGTGGTGTTGACCAGTTAGAGTGTGCCAAGTCAAGCCTGTGGCCATACAGGTGGTATCTTTATTTCTCCCTTTCAGTGCAGTCTCTGATCCTATACCCCCATATGAGAATGAACATGTGTCCTAAGGAACTCTGGGTCCAGGAGGGTTTGTGGATCATTCCTTCTAGGTAGCACAGACTTTTGGGGATAGTATGGAGACTAAGCCTCTAGAACGGTGCCAACATAATGATTTTATGTGACTTTCACTCAAATTTGGCACAGAACAAGTTTAGGGTTTAGGCTTGAACTGCATGTGTGCCTATATGTTGGCCTTAACTTATTTGTGTTCTGACCATGGTACCACCTTGGTTAATAGTAAGTGACAACATGCTCTTCTGTTGTTCTTAAGCCAGGCTGGAGGAAGGATCAACAGGCTTTGTGCAAAGGAGAGCTCTTTCCTACAATCCCTCATTTATCCTCCCACTGATGACAGGGGTGTGGAAACATAGAATTCAAGACCATAGACTTAAGAGTTTGTGAAAGAAGTCTGATTGTGCTGATTTGTGATTATGCTATAAAATTCTGAACAACAAGTTTGATATGACCAGAATGTCATATTAAAATGTGAATTTTAATTATTTTCATATTTTTCTGCATACTCTCCATAGGACTTGCATTTATGGTCATGAGATCAATGAAAACCTTGGAGTGAGCCATTGTTAGCTGCTACAGTGTCAGGAGCAATCATGTAAATAGCACTGTAAAATGGTATTTGAAACTGCAGAGGCAAGGGGGGGGGTCTATGGTGTATCAATACAAACTGGTCCCAAACAGTCACGCACTGATTTTTCAGTGGCGGGAGAAGGAGAAGAATATAAAACTAGCCAGGACCTGCCATTTGGCAACAAAAAACACAAAGAGGTGTTTTTTGAACCTGAAAGCTGTCTGAACTCTGAAGTTCAGCTGTCTGAACTCTGAATTTTTCACACGAATCACCAGAACAACAACAAAAATGCACAGCTCCGTTTTCCCTATCCGTTATTCTAAACCCTTTTTAATACATTGTGAATAAATCACTGTACTTCACATGGGCCCCTAAATCACATTATTTATATAAACAGGTACTCTATAAAAAATATATTGGCAAGATGCTGCATGCCATAAGGATGACCCTGAATATATGTATATATGTACATATAAATCTGAAGAGCTGTAACTAACTGCCTTTAAGAACATTTCCTGAAGAAATCAGAGGTCATCTTTACATAAACCAGTGAGTGGACATGAGAGGGAGGAAATAATAGTGTAGGAGATGATAAAGGCACAATAAGAATTAGGAAAGTTGTGCTATCAATGATGGCAGCGATCAACTCATGAAAATTCCCTAGAGGTAGAGAGAGAGAAAGCAGTGAAAGATTCAGAGGACAAACAGGAAAAAGTGAAAGATTAGATCAATGGAAATGACTGATACCATAATAGAAAGTGAATAGGCTAAGCTGCTTTGACAAAAAGATTTCCTAACTTTCAGGCTTATAAAGATACTCATTTCTCTCCACAGGATTGTTTATAGACAGGGCACCTTACAGAGCTTTTAGGTGGCTCTCCCATTCCTATCGTGTGTCTTCCACTTATGGATCCAAAATGGTTGTTCGAATTCTTGCCATCTCCCAGGTGGTGGGATGGAGAAAAGGGATGGGTGGGGACAGAGAGGCTACATGTCCAGATGCTTTGAGGGAAAGCCTGTGAGCCACACACAGCACATCCACTCACAGCCCATTGGGCCAGAACTTTTACACATGGCTCCAACTAAATGTAAGTAAATCTTATATTCAGTTGGGTAGCCGTGTGTCCCACTGAAGAAAGAGAGAATTGATTTGGGAGTTGGGGGGGAACAAGGATTTCTCCTGGTATGAATAAATAGAGGCAATCAAGAGCCTTAAATGGCAAAGCACTTTTGAGCAAAAGAATTGGCTAGATATAACAGGCTAGGAAATGAAAAGCTGTAGGTAGAATTCCTCTCTTCTAGCTAGAATTCTGTGTCTTTACTCAAAAAGTTATATATTTTAGAGTTACTATGTAATATCAGAGGATGGTATTCTTACTTCTGGTCCTGAAATGGCATTTCTAATCATCTTCCCTTTCACTGTCTTAAAATCTTTATTCTTCATGTATGCAAAACTCATGCATCCTCAAAGATTCTCAGCCTCCCAACAGTTATTTTCATAATATAAAGCTCTTATTATTTTTCTTTCCATTCGGTCAACCTGTTACAATTCTTATTGAAAACACCATTTCTTTTCCTTACATAATGTCTTGTTGTCAAAAATCTCCCCAGGCATATTCTTTTTGCTTCTTGCTAAAATGCAGTAACTTTACTGAGGGCAAAAGCCCTCTCTAACTTCTTTTGGATTCCCTGCAGTGGCTAGTATAGTGTTGTGGGGAGAGGGCAGGTGCTCAGTAGACTGTATTCAGTTGTCTTATTTGCACAAAAATTAATACAGAAACTTCAGGGAGTAAAACCCCCCAAAGATCTGAGACATCAAAACTAACCTGTCAGACCCAGAGAGGTGATTAATGAAATAGCTTTAGGAACACAGCGAGCACATGGGGTTCCACCATAAGTGAGTATTGTTGAGAGAAGAATATTTTTTGTTTACAAATCTTGCTCTTGATGGAGATTTTACTGTAGTTGCAAAGAGAGCTTTGCTTTTACACAAGTATGAAACTCTCTGACTATGGGAGATAATGATAGGTTTTTAGTGCTGAATATAGATTACTTCTATGTATCTAGAATCTAAATAACCAGGAAGCTCAACCAACTAGAAAAACAAAACAAAATAGAGCAGGTCAAAGACTTTTTTTAAAAAGCAAACTTGCAAGAGATGTCAGGTTTGGGTTTATAGCCATCTGAATATCCATTATTTTTCTAGATTAATTGCTTGCTGGCAATTACCATTAATGGACTATAGGTTTCTACCATATTTCATAATTGATCTTCTAAAAAATAATTTTGGATTGTGTTAAAGGGTTTAAATAATTATCATTAATTGAGAGGATTATAATATAAAATTATTCAAATTACTATGAAATAAGTATTCTTTGCAGTATAATTGTTTTAACAGTTTCTCATTCTTAGAAATCCCCAGTTATCCCTAGTTATGCATGTTGGAAACATGATCATAGAGATCTCCTCCTTAGCTCCTATTTTCCACTAAAATCCAGTCTGAAGTATTTTGCTAGTTATCAACATAGTGTAAAGAGGAGGGGGCAAATAATAGTTTATAAGAAAGATTAACAAATTGTAATTTCCAATTGTACTTCTTAGTTTGCAAAAATAGTCCAGAAATAAAATGGAATATTTCCATGCAAAAGCTACTTGATCTTTGTAAATGTTGGCTTGTAAATTAATAACTCTGTTATTAGTCTTTGGCATCTTGCCTTTTTGGGGGTAATGTTACTTAAAATTTAAATTTTAAAAATAATTATTTATACAAACTATTATATTTTAAGATTCAACATTAAATTGCAAAATAAATGTAGTCTAAAATATTTCACTGATAAAAGACTCCAGTGATCTTTGATGGATTCCAGCTGTATGTAATCTTTTAACCCCACTATATTGTTTAAGATTAGTTCATGTGTGTTGCTCCCAACTTTCACTGTCTTCCTTGTGTAGAAAACTAGACCCTTAGAAAACTTGAAAACACTTTAAATCCAAGGGAATTTGTTGCTATTATTTGTTGTTATTATTGTTTTGTTGTTGCAAACTGTCCATTTCTTTCTCCTATCCTTTTGTGTCTTCAGAGGTGGGTATTTGAAGTTAGTCTATAAACTGATTTCCATGAAAATCAATGTACAAATATGTTATTATTCTATATGAATAACATGCTGCTTGCTGTTTCTGAGGAGCCATGCAATTTTAAATTAATTATAGATTAGTTCTAAGTGGTCTAATCTTGTGACTTAGATAACCTTAAAAACTGAAAAGTGACCATTAAATAATGAATAGATCCTTGTGTAAAGCAAAGCATTTCTTTGACAGTTGTGGATTATGAATCTGATCATGTTTACGTGTGTGTTTGTTAGAGAGTGCATATCTGGGTTGGAATTTTCCACAGTATTTATAATTTACTGTATCAGATCCAAATTATATATTGTATCATTTTATTACTATGTTCATTACATTGTTGGAAACAATATAATTTAGTTCTGATAGCATATGAAAAATACAATTTCTTTTCAACTGGGACACATTTGGGTTTGTTTTTATTTTACTATTGATTTCCAAGAGTGCAAAATAATACCTTTCTGCCACATTGCGTACAGTCTCGAACAATTTCTCATAACCTGCCACAATGCCGAAGTCCCATCAAAGCCTCTGCACTCCAAAAACATGATCTAAAGTGTCTTTGTTTCTCATTCCTTTATAAGATTATTTGAATAGAACATTTGGATGGAGCCATGACCCTATTATTAATCAGACTGAAATATATATGATTAATTAGTTTTTGAGGAAAGAGGTTATCTGTTAACCAAAATGTTGGAAATTTTTAGGTTCATTTCATCCAGGAGAATATTTTAACTTTGGTTAAACACCTATCCATGGGGGTAAATACTCACACAGTATCATATATAGAATTTTTTCTTTAGTGGAATAGCCAAGGTTAATAAAAATACCCATTTAAATGAATAAACTTGCCTTTAAACCTTTTTTGGCTGCCTCGTTGGGTCTGTGGACAACAGCGTGTTTTCAAGTGGGTCCTTCTGAAGTTCGAGATGTTTTGTTTTATACAAAGTCTCTATTAAAAATAACGATTGCCTAATATCTTTTTCACACAGAAGAAAATGGAAAAATATTAAATAGAAATAAGTTCTCGAAGGGTAAGGAAAAAGGCTGCCTGCAAGCATTGCACGAATCACTGTCTCCACCTAGTGCTGGCTTTAGGAATTAAGCGTCCAGTCTTTACTGCTATTATAAAGTTCTAATTTATGTTATGCACATGTACAGTCATTATAGCTGGGTCTGCCAGTGCCATTACAGTTAAGGGTCTGTCAACTCTTCATTTATGAAACAGAATATTAAGAGGCCTATTGCTTTTACATAAAAGCTCACGCTGTGCTGGAACTCTGCAGTCTAATGGCTTTTGCTCTATGTGAATGTTTATTAACAGTAAGTTGTACTTGACCAGCTCCTTTTAAAGACACCCTGATGGGTTGAAGTTATATAGGCACTGCAACTAGAAGGAGGAATCTATTTCTTTTCTTGAAAGTAAACTAAAAAGTGAGTTTACATTTATATACATTTGCTTACATAGATTTTAACCACATTATAATCATATACTTGGAGCTCTGCTTTTGAAACCTTTTCTTCTTGAAGTTTAAAGCTTATCCTGATCACCCAAACTCTTTGCCAAGAGATTACTTACATTTAACTTAGACTTGTTTTTTTGTGGCACGACACCCTACGTGAGAGTATGGCTTATTAGAGATTTAAATTGCCCCTCCCAACCACTTTCTTTTGGTGTTTTTATTCTAGTTTCCAAGAAAACAGTAGCCTGAGGCAAAGAAAATATCCTTAGGAGATAGGCACTCAGAAAAATAATAGATGTGAACTAAATAGGTGCGTTCCTGTCACTTTCATCAACAATAGCAGGAGTTTATCAAACCTTCCGCAGGTGTTCATTCATGATCCAATAGTTCATATAGGTTCTCTGAAAAAATAACTTTCCATTTCTCTTTAGACTTCATTTCAGGTGATTGGATTTTTATTGTCTTGTATGTTGTTAGTACTCTGGGAGGCATCTGGGAAATTAAAACATGATTCAGTGAGCGAGGAAGAGCAATGTACCATGGTGGCTGCATTCCACTACTGCCCTGGCTTCTGAGAACCCTCAGATAGCGTGGTTCCACAGGTTCCATGTTGGTAGGAATAGGTCTTTCCTGTCACCACCACCCCTCTGTGTCCAGAGGAGTTTTCATCAAGTGTATAGGAAAACTTAGCCCTGAACATAACGTTGAGTACTGCAGGTAGTTCTAATAGGACTTCAAAAACTCAGAAAACCTTCAGGCCCAGATGACCACCACCACCACATGTGTTAGAAAATTATGGGGGAGAGGAGGCCTGGTGGCACAGCAGGTTGAGCACAGCGCTGTGAAGCTGTCTGCAGCCTCTGCAGCAGGGGTTCAATTCTAGGCTGGCCAGGGAGAGACCCACATGGCATGGCAGACCTCTCCTGTCTCGCCCACTGCTCCCCTCAGCAGTGTCTTCAGTCCGTCAACCTGTTCTGCTCGCTGCTTTGTCTCTGGTGAATTTGCTCACACTTCTGTGCCTCTGGCCTTTACCCCAGTGCTTGTATAAATAAATAAATCTTTAAAAAAATAAAGAAATAAAGAAAATAATGGGGGATGAACTGCTCCTATGTTCTCATTCACTAATTAATGAGCTATTATATTTTTAAGTGTCCATTTCATATCTGGGATCAGTATTCCTTAGCTATGGTGATTATTCACTCTCCATCTGTTTAATTTTACTGGCTAATATTGATTTAGGAGTTTGACATCTTTAATTTTAAGTAACATTACTTTATTACTTCTGAATTACCAGTAACTGATTTTTTTATTATCTACTTCATGGATGAATTAACTAGATTTCTATAACTATATGGTTTAGAATATTTTATATAGCATCAAAATGATTTATACCAAGACCTCAAGACCTGTGAGGTTATATGATACTGTGTTTTTTAATTTTCTATTTCAAATCTATGAGATTTTCTAAATATTCATTTATTTCATCAAATCTTTTGCATTTTTAGTATATAGATGCATAATATATTTTTAAAGTCATCTCTGCTAAATATTTAGCTTGATTTTCCTTAGATTGTATTATATTTTTGTTTTTTATCTAGATTTAGTTCTTGAAAGACTTGCTCTTTTATTTTTATTTCAAAAACATTTCTTTAAGCCTTTCTTCTTCTAGTCTGTTTTCTAAATTATTTTTTCTATTCAAATATTTATTAGTTCCTTTTATTTAACTTTCTATATACAAAAATAAATTATTGAGTCAAATGATTTATTAATTTTCCTTTACTATTTCACTCTTTACAAGTAAACATTTGCCTTTGTGAATTGATTGAGTTCTAGATGTGTCCTGTAAGTTTTCATGTATCTTTACAGTTCTTTCTATAGAGATATTAAACATGTTATTATTTTTTAACTTCTCTGGTATCATATTTTTGGGAAGAGAATGCATTTTTTAAATGATCTTGTGATTTAAATTGTAAAATTAAACTATATTATATGTTATCATTTGCCACAAAGTGTGACTTAATATCATTTAAAAATGTATTGGCATCAACTTTATATTTGGCAATATTACAGATATTTATTTTTATTTATTACTTAAAAAATTTCACCTTGTGATTCGTAATTTTCTGATCACATAATGATGTGTCCCACAATAATTATGTCTATGTCCATTTCGTTTTGCATGTCTAAAAAGCCTTGCTTTTTTTTTCTATGTTAGTATTGTTGTTTATGTCATTGTTATTATAAAATGATTGTTACTGCACTTTGCCTTTTGCTAAAATTCTGCTGTCAATTATAACATTGCCATTAATTCCCAATTTTTTAAAAAATGTATTCTCTAATTTTAAAGCATTTTCATTTACATCTCTGATAGCAAAAGATCAGATCTGGATTTTAAATTCAAATTGAGTCTTTGCCTAGTGAATAAGTGAATACAAATTAGTCAGTGAATACTTTGAAAAGATATTTAATCTTGCTAAATTCCTTTCTGTCTTTTATTTGTATTAGATGGGCCATAAAACATGAAGGAACCAATAAACCAGACCAGTGGAAACATTCCAGGGTTGAAAATCCTGTCTGGAACAAGCTTACCTACATGTGGCCAGTCCTTCCCAGTGGCCAACTGAATGAGGTTGTATCATTTATATAAGACTTTAAGGTCCAGTATATAGTCAACTTTTCTGAAAATTTCCATGTAGTGTTGGAATTGCAGTTGTTAGGAGCAAGTGACAAATTGATTCTGTTAATTTATTTATCAACTAATTAGAATCATGTTTTCTTCCACTATAGAAATTATTTTATCTATTTATTTTTGTAACCTGTCAAATTTTTCTTTATGTGTCTTAAAATTTAGTTCTTAAACACACAAATACTTAGAAATATTATATCTCCCATCTGATTTAAAGCTTTTATCATTATGAGAGACTCTCTACAGCTCTATTAAAAGTATTATCCAACACTCTTAGATATATTCCAACTTTGGGGGTTATTATTTGACTAGTGTATTTTCTTTCTGTCTTTTTACATTCTGTATTTGTATGTTCTGTTTTATGGAAGTGTCTACAATCAGCATGTAGTTAATATTAAAAAACTGTCTCAAGAATCATTATCTCTACACTAAAGGATTTGGTCTTTTCTATTTATTGTAATGACAGACATATTTATATTCTTTGATTTTTCTCCCTTTTTTATTTCCTACCTACTAGTTTGAAAATTATACTCTATAGTTACTTTTTAAAATTATTACTCTGAACATTTTAGCTTGCATATGTAAATGATCAAGCCTAAACTTAACAAATATATTCTTTTCTCAAATAATTGAGAACATTAAAATGACTTAACTTCAATCATATAATTTGTAACTTATATACAGTTATCATATTTTAATCATTCTAAAGTTTTTACAAGATACTAAAATTGTTGTATACAGTCCATATTTATTTAAATTGGCTTCTGATTTTTTCATCTCTCTGTTATAATTCCTTCTTACATCTCAGTCCTTCCACCTAGAATTACTTTATTTTGGCTTGCTATACCCTTTATTTAATTTTGGTAGCAAATTCCTTCAGTATTTACTTATAGCAAATATCTTTATTTTGTTCTTGTTTATATAAAATATTTTCACTTAGAACAGTGAAGATATCATCACTGACTTCTACTTTTCATTGTTGTTATTGAGAAGTCAGCTACAATTCTAAATGTTATTCCTTTAAAGGTATGTGCCTTTTTCTCTTTGACTTGTTTTAATGTCTTTCTTTTATTGGGCAGTTTTCAGTTTTACCACAGAGGATTTCTTTATATTTTTCCTGTTTGGGGTTCTTGAATCTGTGGGTTGCTCTCTTACCTAAAGATTATCATGCACTATTTCTTCAAAGATCCTCTCTTCTACATCATTTTGCTCTGTGTTTTGTTTTTTTTTTAATATTCTCATTAGGTATATACTGGAACTTCTCGGTTTGACCTCAATGTCTCAACCATTTTTGTATATTTTCTCTTCATCTTTAACATGCATTTTGCATCATATTTGCAGATAGTTTTCTTTAAAATTATTAATTTTATATTTATACTTAATGTAAATATATATATTTATATATACATATAAAAATATAGAGAGAGGCATTGCAGGCAAAGCAAGGAAGGAGCTAGACATGGTCTCTACCTTCATGGAACTTACAGTTTAAGTATAGGGTGCATCAAAAAAGAAGAAACCAGGAGAAGCTATTTTTTGAGCCAATTAATTCAGTCATATGTTCAGTATAAGAAAAGATTAGTAAGACTGATTGGACAGGCCTGAAAACTGAGTCAGAGTATAAAAGTCTAGGGAAATGATCTAATCAGCTGAGTGAGACTCAAATTCTGTTAATTTTGTAACAAGAACCTTCTGAAATAGAATGATGAGCAAGGGAAGATTTAAGGAAATATGGACAGTGTGAATTATTTTTGTGATGATTCAGACCACATGCCCAACTATTTACCTCTCAGTGGTAACAGCTACTTTCTGAAATTATTTCATGAAATAAATAGTTGAATAATTATTAGCATAAATCATATGCGTGTTAAATATTGCTTACCCTGAAAGGAAATTGGTAATATTTTTATAAGCAAACAACATTTCTTATATTAAGATAGCAATGTTTTAAAATATGTAAAAATCTTAGAAAACACAAAATTAATTCATTATGTGACCAAGTTTCCAGGAACTTGGAATTTCTAGGAACTCAGGTTATTTTCTCAAGTTATTTCCCTTTGGGGAAAAAGTTGTAAATTGAGAAGTTGTACTTCTATATACTTGTAGGTAAAGAAGAATGAATTTTTACATTCAAGGATGAAATCACTGGTAAAAGTGAATCCGAAGGGACATAAGATAATGGAATGAGCCACTGGATAGTGATTTTAAAATTTCTAAATTACTCAATTAAAACATATATATTTGGAGCATCCCATATTAAACAAAAGAACATTAAAAGTACACATTTTATTAATTTATTAAGAGAGGTGAAAATTAATTGTTAGTATATAGGGAGAAAAGAAGGTGTGGGAAGGCCCAAGAGACAAAAATTGATCTATTAGTTTATGAATAACAAATTGGTGGAGAGCCAACCTGACTAAGAAATTTATATCACTAAAGCTGGATGGACTTCCCCACAAAACCACAGTTCTCTCTGGTTATAAGAGATGTGAAAAAGAAAAAGCAGACTTTTCAATTTCAGGGAGCACCACAGCCCATCAGAGGTGTCCTGACTATGTAGCTATGCCATGGGATAGGGAGAGAGACAAAGAGAAGCAATAACAAAATGAACAGGAATGTGAGAATTCCCACAGAGTTTAATTTATTCATGTTTTGTTGGCCTTCATTATCCTGACATCATCTTTCTCTGTTTCCATGAAGGATTAAGTAAAAGTGTCTTAAACATCAGAACAAGGTTTAAAGTAGCTTATAGGAAGACATGCCAGTGATAGTTCCTGCATTTGTAAAATTTTGAAACCCAAGGTAATCTTTCATCTCTTTAGATTGGGTTTTTGTGATGTCTCATATTAAAAAGGGAAGACCGTTAGGCTCCCTTTATCTAAAAGAAAGCAAAAGAAACTATCTGAAGTCACTTGTGCTTCAGGGTGCTAGAGGCAGAGTCTATAGTGGTTATCACTTGTCATGACACAAGTTTAGGGAATGAAAGGTTCTAAAAATATCTAGGCACTAAGATAGCATGTTTCAGAGAAGTTCATGAGAACTACAGCATGCTTGGGATATTGAAAAAAAACTTAGTCACATCTTCATTCTATGAATTGACTGCTCTTGTAGTCAAGAATCTTGTTTTTCTTGCCTTTTCCTTCCATGGTTCAGAAAGAGAGAAGAGGGAAAATACTAGCTAGTTTACACCAAGACTTCAATTGGCTGTAATTTTTTAAATGAGAAATCTGTTGTTCTCCATTTCCTACCTGTCCATTCTTTATTTCCTAATAGTTTGTCTAAAACTAATATAGTGATTTGCTCTTGTTTATTATTTTTGTTTTAGAAGATTTACAGAACAACTTAAATTTACTTCTTGAAGTTATACAACCCCACCCCTCTGCCATCCATCACATTAATTAAAACCTTTATACATTAGGAAAGTTTCAAATGAAAATATTCCATTGCTTCTGTTTGTCACAATCTTTGGTATTTCATCACCATCACTGTAGTAAGGGAAAGTGGCTGCAACATATAAAACAACCAAAATGCAAAAATGACTTCTTGCATATACCTGGCTAAACTGATTAAGTAAGAAAAAAAATAAGGTATATAATACTGGGAATAAGAAATGCTAGTATAGATGCTTAGAAATTATGAAGATAATAAAAGGCTATTATAAGTAACTTTATGCTAATAAATTATAACTTAGAAAAAACCCTCAAATTCCTAGACAAAAGTAATTTAACAAAATAGAACCAAGAAGAAACAGAAAGCCTGACTATCTTAATAATCATTTATTGAATGAAATGGAATCAGTAGCTAAATCTCCTCACAAAAAGAACACCATGACCAAATAGTCTAATGGAAAATTCTACCAAACATGTAAGAAATAAATATTTCAGAATATACGAAAAGAAGTCACACTTCTAATTTATTCCATGAGGCTGGGATAAACTTGTTACCAAATCTTGAGGAGGATAGTGTAAGAAAATTACATGTTGATTTTATTTATGAATGTTAGCAAATTGAATTCAGCAATCTGTAAATAAAGATATTACAGTGTGATTAATTAAATTTAACCCAGGAATGCAAGTTTAAAAAGTTTTAAAGCAAATAATATAATTAAAACATAGCCAATGAACAGATAATCATGATTTATCATCTCAGTAAGTGCAGGAAAAAGAGCTTTGTATGATTCAAAATACACTCAAGAAGGAAAATTTAAGTTATTTTCATTATCTCATTCTGGTTTGGGGAATGTTTCCCAAATATTCTTATTTTCCAAATAGTTTAAGATAATGTTATTTGAGGCTATTGTAAATAGTTTTCACATAACATCTTTTACATTCTGCCTCAGATCTCTGGTCATTTGCTTTTCTGAGTTTTCTTACATATCTCTAAACTCTTTGTATTGTTTTGTTGTATTGTTCCTTTTCTTTGTATTGTTCCTGTTCTTTGATTTTCTTGATTATGGTAATTTTGAATTCTGTATCTGATAATCAGGAAGAAAAACTCTTCCATGTCTTTGTGACTTGAATCTGGACATTTGTTTTCTCCATGGTGTATTATTCCCCTGTGGACTTGTTTGATCATGGTGTTTTTCTCCCCATCATTTGCTTTGGGTTTGTTCTACCGTAGCTGAGCTTTTGCTCTATGAGTGTCCTCCTCTTCCACTGTACTGGGCATTTACCCATTGGTGAGCACTGCCTCTAGGGCAGCTTGGGGTGGTACTAGGAGTTCACCCCAGGCTGATCATAGCTGGAATCTGTTCATCATGGGACTTGAGGCTTGTGGGGGAAGAGGCTGAGGCCAGAAAGCGGGAGAGCAGCTCATCCTAAGACTGATGGAAACAGGATATGGGTGTTGTGGTGTTAAGAAATGATCCTGGGGGCATTCTTACTTTCTTTATATTGATTGAAGATGCTTCACACATGAAGAAGAAAACATTCCAAGTTAATTCAGTGCTGCCAGTAGCCATACATTCACCCCTTTGTTCAAGCTACAAACCTTGTAAATATACTTCATACATTTTCCAGCTTGTAACAAAACATAGGGTTTACATACATTTTCTATTCTTTTTTTTTAATTGAAGTAACATTGGTTTATATGACTCCCCCATCAGCCTCAAATCTACAGTCACATTTCACAAATTAAAAAAAAAAATTACTCTTCTTTTAATTCAAATAAACATCAAGTAAAATTATCTGAAACATTTTAGGTGCCCAATACATAGGTGATGAATGAAAAACTAAAGGTATTAGCTGTGGTTTATATATCTATGTAGTGTCTAGAAATGACTTATTTATTATCACATTATTTGGTCATTTCTTTCTGAAGGATTTTGATTGGCCAATAGAAGGACTGCTTGTTCCAAACAGCCCTCCCATGAAGAAACCTGTGTGTAAGACACCACGGCAATATGTCCCTGTGCGACTCAGAATTTTGCGAAATGGAGATAAGAGCAAGAACAGAGCCCTTGTTATAATAGGTCCAGACATCTCACCTAGACGGAAAATGCAGTAAGAACAACTTATTCATATTTCTCATTAAGTACACTAACTTCTTTTTTTTTTTTTTTAAAGATTTATTTATTTATACAAGAGCTGGGGTATAGGCTAGAGGCACAGGAGAGTGAGAGGATTCACCAGAGACAGAGCAGGGAGCAGAACAGGCAGATGGACCCAAAGCACTGCTGAGGGGAGCAGCGGGCAAGACAGGAGAGGTCTGCTGTGCCATGTGGATATCTCCCTGGCCGGCTGGGGCTCAAACCTGCGCTGCAGAGGCTGTGGACAGCTTCACAGTGTTGCACTCAACCTGCTGCACCTCTGGGGAGGCCCTAAGTATGCTAATTTGTAGAGATTTTTGTCTTCTTGATTACAGGTGCTTTTTCTGGGCCAATCCATTGTTTATTTTTTTTTTTTTAAAGACTCCCATGTTGATATTTGGAGATGAAAATAGGTTTTAAGCTTCATTTTGTTTCTGTGTCAGCAACTTAAACTGAGCTGATTTATTAAACTACGAATGGGAGTAAAAATGAGTTAAAAATCAATAGTTCTGATAAAAAGTTCTATGATAATATCTATTTTGTGTAAGCATTAATTTATTTCATTTGTTTTGAAATAACTGAACTCATGCATTGCTTCTTAAGTATAATTTTGTAATTCCTTACACCAGTTGTTATACATAATTATTTACATTTAGGTCTTTGATGTATTTGATGGACAAGTGTAGTTTTCAAAATATAACTGTATAATTTATTCCTTGCCTTGGAATAACATTTTAAAAGTTTATCATTCTGAAAAAGCACTTATCTGTACTTTAGCTCTCTTTATGAAATTGGAATAAAATTCACAACAGCCAACAAATCCAACGTTGGGAGAAGATCACCTGCTGTATTTTCATTATGTTTTGTGACAAAGGAATCATAGATCAGTGCAAAGCTCTGATGTAAAGAATGAGTTAAATACATTGTTTCTTATATTATTAACAGTGATATTACCTCCTGACCTTTTCCATGAGATGTTTAGAATATTTGAGGCTGCTGATAATAGTTTAATATTACTTTCCTCACATTGATTAAATATACTTTATACATCACTGAACAATGAGTAACATTCAGATCGGCTGTCCACTGAACTGCCTGTAAAGATGATAAAGTAAAAAATTAATCTTCAAAGTAAAGTCAAGCCTGAAATTGAAATCTTTGACGCATACATTTCATAATTAGTTCATTCTGCTAGATGTAAAAATGTGAGGTTAATGCCCTTAAAGTAGTGTATGACTTTTAACATCCAAAGTTAACAAATCACTTTTGTCCCTTTCTACATTTTTTTCTTATTCTATATCTTTGACTATGACTCAAATTTATATAGAGATTTTTATTTTAACATTAATAGTTTAAAATACATGATTTGTGTTACTGGACAACTATTCTAGTAAGGTTGTGAAACTCTCCACTGTCTGTGTTCATGGAGCAGTGTGTCTTGGTTAATCAAGTATTAACTTTATGCACATACATGAATTATTTCCAAATAATTAAAATATACTGACATACACTTGATGCTAAAACTTTACTAACTGTAGTTTAACTTTTCTTGACTGATTCAGACAATTTTCTATAGGATCCTCAATAGCATTCCACACTCTTACCCCCAGAGGTTTATGTAAGTACTGGTAACAGAATGTTTAAATGGGAAGAGTTTTGGCTGACATTATAGGGCTGCTGTGTTGCCCAGTACCAGAGGGCACTGTGTATATAATACTCTATGAATGGCACCCAAGAATTATGCAAGGTAGAATACCCGATGTATATTTTTAATATATCTAAACAAAATATCTTCTCTCCCAAAATAAATAGATGAATATTTTCTCTCCCATTAAAATGCTAATGACACATAGGAACACATAACTTGTGCTAACATAAAACTTTTATATAAGAACAAGCTGTTTTTTTTAGTGTCTTTACAAATTAAATTAAGCTAAATAATGAAATATGGATCCATAACCAAATCCTCATCTGGCAGCATTCTTTCCTTTGGTTCTTTGATAACTTATCCTAGACATTTTCGAGGGACTTTACTTGGTGGTAGCGTTTCCTTCATGTCAAAGGAAGATCAAGTAGCATTTATTCATTACCTAGTTGATCATTACTCTTAGTAACAAGATCTTGTCAATTAGTCTTGCTAATGGCTGTCAAGTTCATGTAAATTAAGACCATTATGATTTTTAGTGTCTCTCAAGACTAAATTTAATAAGGAATTTTTTATAAGTGATATTTTAAGGAATTATGAGAGGAAAGGCTAAACATGAAGCTATACAGCAAAGATAATTTGAATGTATGTATGTGTTACTTATTAGTAAGCAATGATTCCTAGACTCATTAAGCTCCTTAATACAGCTTTTACAACCCTTTATGAGCTGTCCCTACATATTTCTCTGACTCTCTTTATTATCAACAGTCTCTCCAATTCCCACTCTTAAACCCCCCTCTAATTGCCATTTGCCAAATGATAAAGGTCTTTTGAGCATGAGTTTGGACTTCATCTTTAGGTGCTGACATTACCTACTGCACCACTGAGTTAACTCTAGCTTTAGGCATCCCAGTGTTCTCATTTCCAAGGACTTTCAACAGCATATCTCCCACCACTCTTGTTGTGATTACCTGTTTAACTCTCCATCCATGAACTGGACAAATGTTCTATCTTGTATAGTATCGTCACAGAATGGTACATCCTTGTTAATTAAATATTAAGCTACTTTATTCACTACATCTTTAGGACTCACAATATGCCCTAAATCAGTGCTTATTGGGGACATGAATAAATGAGTGATTACCTATGCTTGATCACCATTTCTAATGAATGAATAAGTATTTTTGACCATTACTTTCATTTAAGAAAAAAGAATGATTATAAAAATACACAGAATGTTTTTCTAATTTGAAAAAAACATATATTCCAATTCAGCATTCTTTTTCTACAATAATCATTATTCATTTCCCAGTTTAAAAATTTTTAGGTTGCCACCGACTGGGAAAAAATTTTTGCACACAACAATAAAGGACTGATCACAAAAATCTACAAAGAGCTGATGAAACTCAACAAAAACAAAGAAAATAATCCAGTCAAAAAATGGGCAGAAGAGCTAAAAAGAAACTTCTCTGAAGAGGAAATGCAAATGGCCAACAGGCATATGAAAAAAATGTTCAACCTCACTTGTAATCAGGGAAATGCAAATCAAAACTACAATGAGATACCATCTCACTCCAGTGAGAATGGCACATATTAAAAAAACTAGCAACAACAAATGTTGGTGAGGTTGTGGAGAAAAAGGAACTCTCCTGCACTAATGGTGTGAGTACAAACCGGTCCAACCACTATGGAGAGCTGTGTGGAGATTTCTTGAACTAATAAACATAGAGCTTCCATATGATCCAGCAATTCCACTCCTAGGTATTTACCCAAATAACACAGAAACAGTAATTCCAAAGGGCACCTGCACCCCTATGTTTATAGCAGCACTATTTACAATAGCTAAGCTATGGAAGCAACCCAAATGCCCAAAAATAGATGACTGGATCAAGAAGATGTAGTACATATACACAATGGAATATTACTCAGCATTCAAAAAAGATAAACACATGCAGTTTGCAGCAACATGGATGGAGCTAGAAGGGATCATGCTCAGCGAAATAAGTCAGAAAGAAAAAGAAAAATACCGAATGGTCTCACTCATAGCAGGAATTTAGAAAACCTAAATAAGAGACCAGGAAAAAGACTAATCAATACAAAATCAATACAAAGTAAAAATCAAAATCAACAAGCAACTATAAACCAGAGACACATTACAGGGTGGGGAGGAAGGGAGGGGCAGGGAAAGGAAGGACTAGAGTCAAAATAAAGGGGGGTGCAATTGTATGGGGAATATAACCAAAATGAAAATGCATACATTGTGCAAAGATGAAAAAAGATGTAAGAATTATATAAAATAAAATATTTAAATAAAAAAATAAAAAAGGGTTTAATATCAAAATAAAACTGGTTATCTTTGATATAAGATACTATAAAAACAGAAAAACAAAAGAAAATATTTAAAGTTAAAGAAAGGCATCTTAAAAATTTTTATGTGGTCTTACAACTCACTATAATAGCATTTAAATTAAACTTTAATATTTCTAGTGTCCTTATGTGATACCAAACTTAATTTTTTTCATTTTCAAGAAGAACTAAAGTATTCTTGGACTGTCTTTACTAACTTTTAATAATCCTGTCAGCATTGCTAAGCCTTGTCAGAAAATAGATCTGCTCTGAAAAATCTTTGTTATTCTGGGTCATTAAGTATTTTATAAAAATCTGTACATTTCTTAATCCTATGCAAACTTCCATGATTCAAAGATTCTAAAATAGTAAAGATTTTGTCTTGAAAGTCTTGAAAGGACTCTTAAGAAATCTGATAAAGTTGTTTTTCTTGTAAAAAAAAATAAAAATTTTAGGTTGGATTGAAAACTTAAACAATATATGAGTAATATAGGAATAAATGTGAAAATTAATAATGTAAGAATAAACAGCTCTGACAAAATAGATGTAATCAATATCTGTATATTTTTCAGAGTTGATAAATTTAACATCTTATAGTGCACTATTAATAGAAGAGTGTTAAAATATTAAAATTTTGTTTTCTTCTGTTAGTTGTACATAGTATAAATGTTTGTAAAGTTTAATACTTAATTGTGATAGTTTTATAAAAATCTTATTTTTAAGAAAGGTATATTGCTTTAGAGCACATCATGATAAACTAAAGCCTCATAATTTTTTCACATTTTAATAAGAAGATATTTGACATTGTATACTGACATATTAATCAAATCTTGGATCATTTGTTTCAGAACTGTTGACATTGGAAAGAAAGAAAATATGAAAAACTACATCACTAAATATTCAGAAACAGAAACAAACCAGACTGAATTTCATCAACTTTTAGAGAGGTAAATACTCCCCTACACTTAATGTTCCTCCTGACCATACACTAAGTGTATGGTCAGGAGCCACACCACACTTCTGTAGGTCTTAACTCTTCTTGATGTGCTCCTAGTCATCTGTGAAGGTCCAACCAGGTGTCACTTTCTTAAATAAGTCTCGTTGGAAGAATTCATTGTTTTTCCTGTGTTCTCACAGCACCCTGACCAGGTGCCATGACTGCACCCACTACTTCATGTTGTATTTCAGTTCCTAATCTAGCTCTTCTCCTTATTGGACAGGAAGATCTTCAGGGAACAGGGAAACTATCATTCATGTTGATATCCAAGAGCAAGAAATCAATTTTCTCGGGGTAGGGAGAAATCACTGTTTAAAGAGTCTAAAAATTCCTATTGCAAAGAAGTTGAAAAAGAAGTTAAAAGGAGATTATTTCTGGTGAGGAAAATGAGGAATTGCTTGGTGATGGATGTGACTTCAAAGAAAGAGAAAAACTTCAACAGGAGTGTGTTTAGGTAAAAGGTAGAGTGTGAGCAGCAGCATACACAGGAAAGTATGGGGCATATTTTTCATTGAGGAATGAAAAATCAGTAATAATATGTCTTCATATTTATTGATCATGCCTAGCACTGTGTAGGTACTTTTAAAAATCAATCCATAATCTTTACAACTCTAGTAGATAAGAAATTTAGCTTTAGAGAAGTTAAACAACTTGCCTGCTTGGAAAGGGGGGAGTGAGACTCATAAGGCGTCTTTTAAATGCCCACAGTCTTGCTCAGGAGTTGTCATTAATGATCCTGGTACTTAATTTATTTTCTATCTTCTCTTCTGGAAACTGTGCAAAGTTAGTTTTTGTGTCTTTTATTACAGGTGCACTGAAGTTCTGAATTTACCTTCTGCAGCTCGGAGGTTGTTTAATGAAAAAGGGAAGGAAATCTTTGCCCTAAAAGACCTGCAAAGAGATGACCTGGTAAAAATATTTTATCTCTGCCAAGAATGAAATATGTTTTGATTTAAGGACATTTATGAAAAATATATGAACAAAATGAAAAAAATCTCATCCATAATCTTTGCATCTAGAAATTTCCAAATTAACATTTTGGTACTCATACTACAAATACATTTCTACCAGTGGCTGTAAGAATTTTCCTGTAAAGGATCAGATAGTAAATATTTACAAACCAGATGGTGTCCATTGAAACATAAAGTCTGCCATTGTCGCATAAGAGCAGTCACAGACAACGCAGGAATGAATGATCATAGTTGTGTTCCAGTAAAACTTTACAAAAACAGGCAGCAGGTCAGATTTGGGCCTCAGCCATGGTCTGCATATCCCTGATTTATATCTATCCTCCCTCCGCCTTCCTTCCTTCCTTTCTTTAAAAAATTATTATTTTTATTTTGGTATAATTATAGATTCATTGGAAGTTGCAAAGAGAATATAGAGAAGTACTGTTTCTAGTACAAAATCCTTGCGATCCATCAAAGTTGTGTTTATCAATAGTTTGTGTCTTTTTTCTCACTGAGTATCATTCCATTGTGCCACAATTTGTTTAACCCTTCACCTATTGTAGGGTCTTTTGGTTGTTGCCAATTTTGGCTATTACAAATAACGCGGCTGTCAAAAATTGGACATGGAATCAGACTTATTTCTTTGATAGGTGTATGTTTCACGTGGAGAACCTTGGATCAATCCTCATCTGTCCATTGCTCAGCAGAAGCAGCAAATCTTTCTGAGGAACCTAGCATCAGACATTTCTAAAATTCAGACCTTCTGCAGTATACGTAATATAGAGGGTAAGCATTGGAATTATTTCTTTTAATATAGCAAAATAAAATACTTGATGAGATTACTTTTATTTATTTATTATTTTTTTAAAGTTTTTTTTTATACTTTTTTATACTTTTTTATAAAGTTTTTATTTATTTATACAAGCACTGGGTACAGTCAGAAGCACGGGAGGGTGAGAGAATTCACCAGAGCCAGAGCGGGGAGCAGAGCAGGCAGAGGGACTGAAGTACACTGCTGAGGGGAGCAGCGGGCGGCAGGAGAGGTCTGTGCGCCATGTGGGACCCTCCTCCCGTGGCCGGGGAGCAGCTGGGGATCGAACCGGCGCTGCAGAGGCTGGGCAGCTTCGCAACCCAGTGCTCAACCACTGCACCACCTAGGAGGCCCATTGATGAGATTACTTTTTAAAAAGTAATTCAAGTTTGTTTAAGCTGGTTATTTTCCACTCTGCCTCTTGCTAGTTAGCTCTTTAGATTAACATATTTAACAGGGTTTTAAATTTTAATTTACACTACACTTTGGATATGCAATGAAAATACAATTTATTCATTTTGTCTTTAAAAAGCTGGTCTTCTTTGTGAGCCTCATGCACTCACCTAAAGGAAAAAACTTAATGACCAGTTAGGTTTCAATTTTGTCCCATTCATTAATTTAATAGTCCACTTAGGAAGGGTTTTCAGATTTCCCTATTTCTAGTCTCACTTCCTCTCTAGGATAAACAAGAACTTGGGGTACAAAGCCCCTTGCTCTCTGGGTCCTGCTGGTTGAAGTGCATGGTTAAGTGACTGTATTGTATTCTTTTGGCCCAGACAGTGCTTAGGGTGGGTGGTGCTTCCTGGCTGCTTTGGGCTTGGCTGTTACACACACACACACACACACACACACACGTGTGTGTGCGTGCATGCCCTCTGAAGCCTAACTGTACTTGAGTGGTGTTCTCTGTGGTTCTTGCTACAGAATCGCTTCATACCTAGTTGGCAACCACTTCTGGAAAGTTTCCCAGAAAATCCTGGATCATGGCTGTAACTTGCAGAAACCAAATCCAGGTTCACCTAGCTTTGCCACAGATCAGAGAGGTGAGGGAAACTTGAGAGGAACTCTTCACAGTTTCTTGAACAGGGGGTGGTGTCCCCAACATTTTCATAGTGTAGTGAATTACTAGAAGTGAAGTATGATATGCAGTGCTGGTTTTCTGTCTTCCTGTCTTCTGCCTCAGATGCGCTCAGGCCCAGAGATGGTGGTTTTTTTCTCTCAACCCAGAGGTAAAAACCTTGATTTGCTAAATGGGAGCTAAAGGAATTTGGAAAAATTCTAAATCATGTCAGTATCATCCCAACTTACATTATGTTTTGCAAGTTGTTTTATGTGCTTGAATGTCAAAACTAACCATATTTTGCTTCACTTTTGTAATATGTCTCATCTTGTGGTCTTCCCCCATCCCTTAAGGCTGTAAGTAGAAAGGCAAAAGAGAAAAAGCCTTTAATATAATTTTAAATGCTAGCTTATAGCATATATGGGATACTGTTCAGTATGCTTGGCATGTGTCTATTAAGGCACTGAGAAATTTGGGATCCCAGAAAATTATCTGTAAATAACGCAGCCCATTTGAATACTTAGAATTTATGATAAATAACTCATTTTTTGAAAGACCTACTTTTAGTACATTTAACTACTTTCAGTACATTTAACTAAGAATATCTTAAGAGGAACGATTACACAAAAAATTAACTTGAGACCCAATTATTTTTTAACAAGTAACTATACATTACTTGTAAAATCTGCCCTTTTTACCAGATAGGTAGAAATTATCTGCATTTTTATTTCAGCATGTATTTTCAAATTCTTAATGCTCTGCAGTCATATCTAATACGTCCTTGCTATTTGTGTGTTTCTGTTCAGCTCTTGTTTTAGAAATCCAAAGTGACATTGTGTCTGGGGCCAAGCTTGCTGTGCATAAACCTGTAGCAAATTTTGGAGAAGAACAAACGATAGAAACAGAGGAAGAGCAAATGCAAAAAAATGTTCTGGCTACAGATAATGCTTCCAGTGAAACCCTGTAAGTAATCAGTATGGTCAGAAAAGTTAACTCGTTGCTATTTGAACTCTGCTCATTAGCTCTATGCCAGCACAGAGCCCATGCAGGGAACCCACATCAAGTTTGTGAAACTGATGTCATCTGAAGAGCTAACATTTAATTTTCCTGGCAAAAAGAATAGAGTTGGAGCTTCATGTTCAACCCTCACGATCATTTACTTTCAGTGATTATATTATAATGTTACTATTTTTAAAAGATGAGAATTTTAGAATTGCAGGTATTTATTTCAGAATTTAATCATATTTTGTTTCCATGAAGTGGACTTCTGGAACAATTAAACTTCTTCCTTAATGTAGGTTCAAGATGGATGCATATTAATGTGCTGTTATCCTGGATCACTAAAATAGCTTTCTTATAGGTTTCTCTATCTCCTCTGTCCAATTTAGCTTGAAGTTCCATCTATGGACAATTATTTCTAAAACACAATCTTTTTCATACAATTTGTCAATGACTTCTTATTGCCAACCACAAAAAAATTAGTATGGAATCCCCATCCTTCTGACCCTGGTCAAGGCCTGTCATTGACCCACATCTATACCCCTGTGTTGGTTCCACTCCGTGCTTATATTTCCTCCTCATGAACTCCAAGCTCCAGCTTAGCAACTATAAACTATGGACCAAAGGTGGCATACTCTGCACTATAGCAGGCCTCTGAGACACATGTTTCTTTCTTGCCACCTAAAGCACCTTGGCTGACCTGTACTCATCTATGGAATGATTCTTCATCTTTTTTTTTAAAATTAAGGCAATATTGGTTTATAACTTTGTATAAGTTTCAGGTGTATAGTCTCACACTTCAACATCTGAATGTACTGCATTGTGGCCACCACTAATCTAGTTTCCATCCACTATCACAAGTGACCCTCTTTATTCCTTTTACCCACCTCCAGCCCTGCCCTGTGGTGACCATTATCCTATTGTTAGAATCTGAGACTTGTTTTTATTATGTTGTGCTTGTTTATTTGCTTTGTTTCACTTTCTTCCACATGTGAATGGAATCATATGATATTTGTATTTCTCATCTGATTTATTTTTCTTAGTGTAATACCCTCAAGGTCCATTCATGTTGTTGCAAATGACAGGCTTTCATCTTTTTAAAATAGCTCAGTAGCATTCCAGTGTATATTTGTACCACATCTTCTTTATCCACTTATCCATTGATGTTCTGCCCACTTTTTTAATCGGGTGGTTTGGTTTTCTGTGATTAAGTTGTATGATTTGCTTATGTACTTTCAATATTAGCCCTTTGTCATATTTGCAAATATCTTCTCCCATTTAGTATGTTGCCTTTTCATTTTGACAATGATTTAATTCACTGTACATAAATTTTTAGTTTGATGTAGTCCCATTTATTTATTTATTTTTGCTTTTGTGTCTTTTGCTGTTGAGGTGAAACCCCCTGAAGATAACTCTTGATCAATGACTAGGAGCTTATTGTCTATGTTTTCTGGTATGTGTTTCATGGTTTCAGGTCCTACGTTCAAGTCTGTAATCCATTTTGAATTGATTTTTGTATGTAGCCTAAGAGAGTACTCTAATTTTATTCTTTTGCGCTTGACTGTCCAGTTTCCCCAACACCATTTATTGAAGAGAATTTCCTTACTCTATCATACATTATTTATATCTTTTCCATAATATAGTTAACCATATATATGTAGATTTATTTCTGGACTCTAAATTCTGTTTCATTGATCCGCATGTCTCTTTTTATTCTAATACCACACTGTTTCAGTTATTATCACTTTGAAAATCACTTTGTAGCATATACCGTTGAAACCAGGATGTGTTACACTGCCACATTTTTGTTCTTTTTTCCACGGGATTGTTTTGGTTATTAGAGATGTTTTGTCATTCCATACAAGTTTTTGGATTTTTTGTTCCAATTCTGTGAAGAATGCCTTTTGAATATATTGCTTTAGGTAAAATATTATAACATTGCTAATTCTAACAACCCATGAGCTTGGAATGTCCTTCCATTTCTTCATATCTTTGGTTTTTTTGGACACTACCATATAGTTTTCAGTTTACTGGTCTTTTGCTTCCTTGATTAAATTGATTCCTGTATATTTTATTATTTTTGATGTGATAATAAATTATGATTTCCTTTTTCTCTTTCTGATAGTTCAATGTTTGTGTATAGAAACACAATAAAAATGTTATATTAATTTTGTTGCCTGTCACTTTGCTTATTGTTTCTAAAGATTTTTCATGGAATCTTATCGTACAGAGTTTTCTATGTATAATGTTATGTCATTCACAATAATGACATTTTTTACTTCTTCCTTTCCAATTTGGATACGTTTTATTTATTTATTTGTTTTTTGGAATTACTTTGACTAGGACATGACTAATATTGGTTAATGCAGACATTCTTGTCTTGCTGCTGATCTTAGAAAAGAAACTTGTAGTTTTTCATCACTGAGTATGAAATTAAGATACCTGTGGACTTTTTATTTTGAAATAATTCATGGCACTGATCATATGTACCCCCTGACCACACACGTATCCCCTAACAACCAACAACTTGGGGATTCCTTGAGGTGCAAATTCTCCTCTGTGAAAAGCAGGATAATTGACTTTAATCATCAGTTACTAAATAAACAAAGGAATTATTTTCCAAATTATAAAACAAAAAATACCTGGTCAATTACTATTGTGATGATTGTGAAAATTAACTTATATATTATTCTTACAAACTTTTAAAAGACTGTTTCTATTCTCGATCATAAGAACATCAACTTTAAATTTGGGAATAAAACTTCCTCATTTTTGATGGGTGATTCATCTCATCATGTATGTGACTATTCACAAAGATACCAGAAAGCATTTTATTTTTAGAGAAAATCATTTGACCTATATGGTATCTTCTTCAATGGTTAGGGAACTAACCACATTTTACTTACAACTCCTTTCATTTTTCTTCTAAAGACTACATCATCTAGCTTCTGAATTAGTAGGTTGAACTTAGGTTAAAAAAAAAAAGTAAAAAAAAAAAAAAAACAATAAAGAACATCTTCAAGATCAAAGTCCTAGTTCTGATTCATAAATATCCTCAAGGTCTGGAGTCCTTCTGGTAAAACTGATTGAGTCCACTCAAAATATAACATAAGAATTTCCTGCACATACTGGGCAGATCCTTTTCATCCAGTCTCTTCTTGAATACTCCTAGGGAAATCACTGTTTCACAAGGCAACCCATTCTAATGTTAAAACAATTTCATCTGTTTCCGTGTACTGTGTCTTATTTCTCTTCTACTTGAAAGTCTAAATTACTTAAAGCTTATAATCAGCCCACTGAGTTATCCAGATTATCTTTTACTCGCCATATATCTGTCATATTTATGTCTTTTCTTCCTCAAATGGGTTCATACTCTTGCTTCATAATCTTTATATTTTGTTCTTTTCTCTACCTGGACTGCTCTCTCTTCAGATCCTCTCATGGCTGCCTCCTTCCCTTTTTCTAGGTTGCAACTCAAATATCATCTCTCAGAGATACCTTTTCTGATTGCATTTTTAAAATAGATCCTACCACCCACCAGTCAGTTTCTATCACAACGTCCTATTTTATTCCATGGTGACACTTACCTTGTTATTTTATTCATTTACTTCTCTGTTATCTCTTTTCTTCCCACTAGAATGTAAGTTACATGAACCCTGAAAACTCATACTTTATCAGTGTTTTCTTAACACTTATAACTCTTTCCTGACAAAGAATGAATGACTAGCCAGTAAAGATAAGTATTGATATTATGGATGAGTGAATGGGCAAATGAATGAATTAATAAGCCAAGATGGATTTTAAAATGACTGTACAGAAGTTGTGGGTCATTTGCCCGAAAACCCAAAAGCATCTAGATAAATTACAAGTTAGAAAATTAAACATTTGGATTTGGTATAAAAGTCTAGTTTGCATCTTTTTATTTTGGAAATTTTTTTTATCTCTATTTACCTTAAAAAATAAGGAATGGAAATATCACATGATCCAGTGACCCTACTCTTGGACACTGATCCAAAGGAGATGAAACCAACTCAAGAAAGTATGACTCTCCAGTGTTTATTGCAGCACTATTTACTAGAACATGAAAACAACCTAAGCACCCACTGATAGAGGACTGGACTAACAACATGTATATCCGTATATCCACACAATAGAATATTATTCACCCACAAAAAAGGCAAATATTGCCATTTACAGCAAAGCAGACGGAGCTTGAAGAGACTTACGTGTAGTAAAGCTAGTTAGAAAAACAAAGACAAATAATGGATGTTTACCTAGCAGATGATTCGACCAAAAAAATACTTAAAAAAGCCTACCAGACATTAGTAAATGAAGTGAGACTTCTGGGGTTATGATGAGGGGTGGGCGTGCAGTGATAGGAGAAAGGATGAAAGGGAGAGAAGGGATGGTGGCATGAAAAACAATACAGATTATCTGATTTTGTAGTTTAAAAAGATGTTATTTCTATTAGAAAGCTAGTGACACGTTGTCAGAAGTAAAAAAAAAACACCTTGTTTATACTTTTCTAAATATTGTAAAACTAAGAATGACTTTTTTTTCTCTTCCTCAAAGAAATGGAGTTGTTGGAAAACCTGTGTTTTTTATTTTCATCACAAGATGGCACTGTCGTCTTTTAACTGTTGCTGAGATTTTTGATTTAAGTCCCTTGTGCTTCAATTCTGAATGAATTAGTTGTTATCCACCAATTTTATATCCACATGATTCTTTTGTTACATTTTAGAGTATGTGGTGTGCTCTGCTAACATAGAAATTGTCCCTGAAGATTTTGCTAATTTGATATTGCTTGCAGTTACATCAAATTATCACAAGCACCTTGGAGAACTTTATTTACACATATGCATATTTAGAGATGAAATATATCTGCTGAATTACCTGTGTATTTATCCTGCAATTAGCAGAGCAGTCCTCATGTTGTGTCAGGACCCCATGGAAGGCAGTTGTGTGCTAAACAGTGGACCAGAACTTAACCTTTGGAGATGTCTATGGTAGCTACATTCCTGTTCACATCTTTGTCTTAAAAAGTCAGAAGACTGGCTTAGCTGTTTAATGATGCCTTTTTACTCTAAGTGTGTACATTATTCTCTATCAAAAGGGACACATATGTGTGAATGCTATTTGAGTCTTTAGATGTCTCTATTGAGAAGAAAAATTAAGATTCCTTACATTGTCTAATGAGTAAACTTTATGAAACTCAATAACCTAAGCTGGAGGTACTGTTCCACACAGAATTTTGACCCACTTATGGGATAGGCAGAAGGTATCGCATTACATGTACATTATGAATTTCTTAAATGATTGAGTAGTTGTAATCTTAGAATTTTTGAAATATAATGCATGGCCGCATTTGCCCCCAAGTGACTATAATAAAGATGTTTATTATCTGATTGAGGAATTTTATTTGTAGCCTTATATTAAAAGATCTAAATTATGTATTAGTAGTATGTGGATTTGCAATGATGAAAATATGATTTACAGATTCACCATTGTCCTTCAGGATATGATCACACTATATCTCAGAGAAAATTCTTGAGTAGAAATCAGAATTCTTAGATTTGTGTTTGCTTCTGAACCTTGACAGAGACTCACATGCAAGAGCCCACCTCCGAATGAAGGCTTGTCACACACTTCTCAGGTATGCCTGGCAGGAAGCTTCTCATGACTTTGATGAGGATGACAGTCTTCCAGAGCAAATGGAAGAAGAGTTCTTTGAACTTGTGGAAGCACCAAAGGAATGCAGGTAAAAAATTAGAAGGGATTTTTGTTATAGTTATTGCCTGGTGTTAGATTTGTTCAATTTTGGGGCAAAAATATGCCTGAGCGTTTGCATTACTACTAGTTGCTGATTACATTAACATCCACATTTTTGGTCTATTTTGTTTTGGCTAACACATTTGCAAATATTGGTGGGAAGGTTCCTTTCCCTTTAGTCGTTTTGTTCTGTTTTATGTAATTTCTTGGTCACTGGTATGTCTTTCTTACTAAAACACTAAGTTCATCCACCTTTGCCTCCTGAGAACTTAGTACAGTGCCTATATATTGAATGAATACATGAATGAACTTATGAATAAGCATATAAGATGCCCTTATATCTTTAGGAACTTAGCAAAATACAACTTTTTCCTTTTTAATCTTAATTTTTTTCTTGTTAATGTCTAATGAAATGACAGTATTGTATATCACTTTGTCTTACTCTATTTCTTTAGATGTTTGCTTAACATTACAGCATTTTATATGAATTAAGCAGTTTTAACACTTTGACATCTGACATTAATCCATGCACATAGTAGGGTCTTAATGGATATTTATATTAATTTAATTGTTAATGCAGTGATGTTTAAAATGTTTGGGTTTGCTTAGTGCATTTAGTTCTTTAAATAAGAGATTGCTTTAACTTAATAGTGTAACTTGATTTTCTTTTATGATATTCTATGAATTGTTAGAAAAATTTGCACAACTTGGAGAATGGCATTCTATTTGCCAGGAACACTGTACATAGAAAATAGAAACAATCATGACATCAACAAAAGTCCAATTTCTCTAATTTGATTTTACATGCCCTTATTCTTCTTACCTCATCCTTTTGAATTTTTTCTCTTCCTGCTCTTTACTCTTCAGTGAAATTTCTTTTCTCTCTGCTATGAATTTCTCAGTCTCTTAGTTTGATTTTTATTTCTGTTACAAAATAACTCAGAATTTTATTTACATCAGCTTGCCGGTGCAAGGTAAATACCAATGCTGCTGTTTTGAAAATAATGCCTCACCATTAGAAGTGAAGTTGGATCAGGGCAAGTCTCTCACCCACAGAACTTGCAATCTCCAGCATGTCAAGTGCACGGGACATTAGCTGCAGTTAATGGGGTTTTCTTTTCCTCAGCCACTCACCAAAGCAGAGTAAATTGCAGAAGTTTTGCTGCCAGCAGTTTGAATACAGAGACGGACAAATTATTAGCCATGCTGCTCCTCAGCTAGTCTTGGGGGTAGAAGGTCCCAATCTGCGTTCAGGCATGGAAGTGGTTTTGGTGGAGAAGAGAGCTGGTAATAGTCACCAACACTGGATACACAAGGAAGGTAGCAGGTAAGCCCGCTATATTGCAGGGGGTGGCAGTGGGGGGAGAGTTCCTATATCAAAAATTGAATAGGAGCCTAAGAACTCTGTCATAGTTCTCACAGAGAAGGTAGGGGTACATTTGAGGGATTTGGATTTTCTTTTTAACTTAGCCAATAATTTTTTTTATTCTTCCCCGGGAAAAGTAAGAGAGTAAAATCAAATATAAGCCCACAGTAAGTAGTCTTATCCTTGCAAGGATAAGATAAAGATAGCCTTATCCATATAACACAACTTATCCACTACTGATTCAGACAATAGACATGCAATTTCACCTGTTTTTTTGGTCATTTTAACTGGTCATTGATGTCAAGAGGAAACTGGACTTTCACTTCATTTTATTTTTCTGATTTAAAGCAATCAAGTAAGAATTCTAAAAAGTCCCCATTTAAAAATGTTTCTAATACTTTTATCAACCCAGTCTTCTGTCCCTCCCCCACATGTATGCCATCCCTCCCTCTCCTATTTCCATCAAATAGCTGAGACGGCTTCCACCCACACAGAAAAATGAATTCTTACTTTTAACAAATAAATTTACCCAATTCAATGTCTGGCCCGTCTTGGATTCAGATTCACGTCAATCACTGTAAAAAAAACTCATTTTGGAAAAAATCAGAAGATATTTAAAACATTTTGAGTGCCTGATGATATTAAGGGTAGTTAATTTTGTTGAGTGTTGCAGTGGTTTAATAGTTATGATAAGAAAAAGAAAGGTCCTGATCCCTATGATGTATATTGTGATATTTGTAAATAAAAATTAAAAGATGACTCAAATTTGCTTTCAAATAGTCTAACAAAAACAAAATTTAAAAAGTTGAGGGTGTGGACTAAACAAGAAAGGTAGAATATTGATATGTGTTAGGTCGATAACAGTTTATGTTCTTGTACATGTTTGAACATTTCTTTAAGAAGAAAGAAAACAACTTGCTTTTTAGATTGGTTATATGAATTCCTACTGTTAGTGTTATATGATAGGGCTTCAGGAGGGCCTCTTTGGTCTCTGGAAATACCATGCAAAATGTATGCATGTGTTTGTATTTTTTTCCTCTGGAAAAAAAGTTTAATTTCCATTGAATTTTCAGAAGATAGGTAATGCAATAAGCTTAGAAATTGATGCTTTGAGAGAAATTGCAGAAGCTTCAGCAGGCGGCAGCAGAGATCCCAGCGTGGATAGGAGAGAGGCTTACCTTATCCTGCTACCACTGTTTGAGGGGAGCAGAACCACCAGTCAAGCACACTTTCTGGGCTTGTTTTAAAAGACTGAAAAGCTTACTTATAGACAGACCTGCTGAGGGTCTTCATTCCATTCATCTGGCTAAGCTGTCTTCACTACATGAGCAAGGAAAAAGACTTTTATCCCTACAAATCGCTTGCAGTATGGGACTAGAATTCGATCATTCAGAGGGCTAGTAAGGTAATTGTTATAGATATTAGTACTTTTGCCAAAAACAAAACAGATGGAAAATCCCTGCCCTTTCAGGGCATAAAAAATCCCATATCCTCATTCCTAAGATTTAGCAATACATCTCTCTGCCTTGACTTTCTGTTCTGTGTAAGTTCTACTTGAACCTGAGTTGGAATTCAAGCATGGCTAAGAATGGGAAAAGCATGGGGGAGTGAGAGAATTTGGCTAAATTCAGAAGAAAGCCAAATATGATGAGTTTGACTCAGGAATATTTGGTCATTGGTAGAGAAGGCTAGTTCTGAATCCTGCTTAGTGTCTGTCACTGGTTTTGTTTTTCATAATCCTTCAGTATTATGGAGAAAGCAGAAGGGGGAAAAACAGTTTAAATAAAAGCAGAAAGACATGTTTACCTAAAACTCTGTGAAATGTTGGGTTGCAACCAGCACTGCTATGGAAAATGAACCACGTGTAATACAAAAGAGGTGTGCGGTCTTGCAGACTCCTTCACTTTACAGAATTCTCTGCAACTTTGTCATCTTGAGATTTTACCATGTCAGACCACAGAAGAGAGGACCATTTGATAGGAGATGGTGATATTAATTGATTTCTGGTCAGAAACCTCATCATCTTGAGAGAAGAAGTGGAGCAATGAGGGGCAGTGGGGAAAAAAAATTGCTCTTGAGCACATGGGTCACCCTCTAAGGACTCCCAGAATACTTGGCAGGGAAGGTTTTGCAAAAGTCTTGATTATATGCAGGCACAATTCACAGGAATTTTTGTCAATGGTAGTATGTCTCTATAGTGACAGTGCTTCTGAGTTTTCCTACACATATCTCCTTGGCATTTTGCTTTGTCTCACTTATTATGAACCTGGTAAGATCTAGAGGAGCCTTGGGTTTCCTATGCAGCAGAAACCTGTAGAAAATTTGGTTTGTGTGAACCATAGTCTTTTTGTAACAGGGTGGTCCCCAGGAAAGGGGGAGGTTCCAGGTTCCCTGCCCCACCCAAATGGAGGGTGTAGCTGAGCAGGGAGAGAAGAAGCTCCAGAGGAGACTGAAGAAGGAAGGAAGCAGGAAGGAGAGCCAGGAGGAGATCTGGAGGAAGCACATGGAATGGAGAGACATGTGAAGAAACTGCTCTTGCCTTTTGGTCGTAGACTGGGTGACACAGACGTGGGTGAGACCCGTGGGGAGGTGTCAATGGCAGCTTTTATCTTGATTTTGATTTTTCTCTTTTCCTTCTGGGCTTGTCTGGTTGTTTCTGACCCTTTTCTGTGGGTCCCCACTGGAAGATGCTTTAGACTTGTGGCAGGCTTTGGGGCCTTGCTCTGGGCCAATCCCATTTGGATGGAGTTTTACCCACAAGGGGACGGGTAACTTTGGGTGCTTGATTTAGAAACTAGATTCTTTGCCTTTCCTATATTGTTTCCTAGTTATATTAAATTTCCTTCCCAAATTCCCACCCATTTAGAATAGGTGGTTTGCGGGGTTTGGGCTGCCCCTCTCCCTGCCCTGTAACATTTTGATCCTTCATATTTCGCACAGGCAGTAGGTTTGCATTTAGAGACAATTGCCCATTAAGAATTGTACTAATAATGTATAGACAGAGTAGCTCACTGCCAACATAATAGGAGGTAGACTCCCAAGTGACTATCACTGTGCTCGGATTTTTCTGCTATTAGCCTTTCACTCAGTTCTTTGCATTTTGAATTATTTTACTTTGACCTTCTTTGTAAAAATGGAAAGTAACTAGAAAATTTTATATCTTAGACAATTATTAGTTAAACCTCATAAAGGAAATTATGGCTATGAAAATAAGGCCTTTCTGGGATAACATATAATCTAGCTGGAAATGTAAAAAGGAGTCAACAGGCACTGAAAGGTAGTAGGATATTGTTGAAGATGTACTTACTTGATTTCCAGCCATATAGAAGAATGATTCAGGTCAACTTCTGATATGTTCTAGCATCTTTCTCCCATTTTCAGCTCTGGCACAATCTGAATTAAGCATTTGGTCTCCAAAGGGAAATAGGTGATGAAAAGAAACAAAGGTGTCTAGATTGACAAGGGAGAAGTAAATTTGCCTCTATATGCATATGACATGATATTGTGTACTGAAAACCTTAACACGCCACCAAAAACCTATTAGGAAAAATAAAGAAATACAGTAAAGGTGCAGGTTACAAAATCAACATGCAAAAATTGGTTGCATTTCTATATGCAAACAATGAACTGGTATAAAAGAAAGATGAAAACAATACTATTTACAGTCACAGAAAAAATAAAATGCCTGGAAACAATTTTAACCCATACATTGAAAAAGTATAAGACATTATTGAAAGAATTTGAAGAAAATCCAAAGAAATGGAAAGACATTCTGTGCTCATGGATCAGAAGGATCAAGATACCAATAGCATTCTTCACAGGGATAGAATAAAAGATCCTAAACTTTACATGGAACCACAAAAGATGCTGAATCACCAACACAATACTGAAAAAAGAGAACAAAAGTGGTGGTATCATGCTCCCTGTTTTCAAACTATAATATAAAACTACAGTAGTCAAAACAATATGGTATTTTAATAAATAGAGCACACAAATCAATGGAATGGAATTGAAAGCCCAGAAATAAAACCACACATTTACAGGCAACTAATTTATGACAAAGGAGTCTAGAGAATACATTGGAGATTGGGAAGTCTCTTCAATATATGTTGCTAGGAAACCAGATGAGAAGAATGAAACTAGAACACTATCTTACACCAAATACAGACATAAATTCAAAATGGATCAAAAACTTGAATATAAGATCTGAAATCATAAAATAAATTCAAGAAAACAGTTATTAGTCTCCTTGACTTTTGTCTTAGTAGTGATGTCCTTATAACTTCATCCCAGATAGCAAGAGAAACACAAGATTATATATAAACAAACTAAAAATCTTCTGTACAAAGAAAGAAACCATTGTTAAAATGAAAAGACAATATATTGAATGGGGGGAGATATTTGTAAAATATTCATCAGACAAGGAGTTAATATCCAAAATATGAAAACATTTCATACAATTCAACAACAATAAAAATGCAATGTGATTAAAAAATAGAGGATCTAAATAGGCATTTCACCAACAGGCATTAGATGACTAACAGATACATGAAAAGATGTTCTGCACTGCCTATTATTAGGGAAATGCAAATCAAATCCACAGTGAGATTTTACCTCATACCATTTAGAATGGACATTATCAAAAAGTTAATAAATAATAAGTATTGGCAAGGATGTGAAGAAAAAGGAACCCTCGTGTACTGTTGGTGGAAATGTAAATTGGTGTAACCATGATGGAAATCATGAAGGGCCCTCAAAACAATGAAAAGAGAACTACCATATGACCCTGTAATCCAACTTCTGGGTAGATGCCCAAAGAATATGAAGGAACTAATTCAAATATATATATATATATATATATATACCCATATATTCATTGTAACATTATTCATAACAGCCAAGATATGAAAACAACCCAAGTGCCAGATGATAGATGAATGAATGTGGCATATATACATAGTGGCATAGTACTTAGCCTTAAAAAAAAGATGAAACCTTGCCATTGGATGAACCTTGAGGGGATCATGCTAAATGAAATAAGGGAGAAAAACAAATGCTATGTTATTTCAGTCGTTTGTGGACTGTAAGGAAAGCAAACAAGCAAAACAAAGAAAATCCTTAGACTGAAACATAATGGTGGTTCCCAGAAAAGGGGGGGGGGCGGGTAGGGCCTGAATAGAAGTAACTGATTGGCTAGTGGTGGAGTGACTAGGTATTTGGTGGTTGGGTATGGTGTGATATATACATTTTCTGAAGTGAGGAACTGTTTACCTGAAACCTATATAATGTTGTAAATTAATTTTATCTCAATGAAGTGAATGAATGAATGAATGAGTGAATAGATTAATAGATATATGAAAAAGTCCTTTGCATGAAAAATCTCCTCAAAAGGACTCCAAGTTAAAGGAAAAAATTGTGTCATGGAATGCCAAGAGAGATCTTAAAAGTTGTCTTGAGTACAAAAACTTGAATATAAAAACTAGGCAGACTGAGGTTCAAGGGGAATAAATGACTTGCGTGTGTTCACGCTGCTGTCAGTGGAAGAGGCAGTGCTATTATGCCAGATATTGCTGGGACACAAAGCAAATTCTCACTCTGCTATTGGCACATGGAATTTATGTAGAAACCTATTAGATCAGGCTTCTTGAAGGATGTAAGCTCCTCTGCTATGGGCAAGTGTCAGTCAAATGCACTGTTCAAAAAGGAAAAGAAAAATCGGGATGGGAGAAGTTGCTGCATTTCTTCTAGGCTGCAAAAACATAGAGACAGCTAGGTTTGTCATCTTGTCACCTCAGTGGGTCATTGCAGGAAATATACAATCACCCATTCATTTGAATAATATTGAAGGCCAATAAAAATGCAAGATGCAAACTAGGCAACATGCTGACGCTGTCAGAGATGAAGGATATAGATCAGGGCACAGTCTTGATAAATGTGAGAAAAGTGTTTGATAAAATCAAACACCCATTTGATTTAAAAATGATACTTCATTTAACAACAATAGAAAGAAAACTATGTTGTAAGATTAGTAGTGATTCTCTAGTAGGAGTATGAGCAATGTTTAAAATTCTATTAAAAATTTTATGAGTTTTTCTAGTATTTCATAAATTCACTACAATGAGGATATGTTGTTTTATGTTCCAGAATTTAAATTAAATATCTGGGATTTTTTAAGTCTTGAAAAAAAAAGAAAAAATATATTGCTTTTATAACATTTCCTCCTACCTTCTCCCCTCCCCTCCACTTCCACAGCATTACATTTCATATTCAGGATGAGTTATATTTTCCACAGCAGGAATGCCTCTGCTGGTTGTCATGTAACTATGTCAAAAGATGTAAAGAACTGATTTTTTTTCTGTACAGACAAGAGCACTGAATATTTGGTTTATTACTGCTTTTAAGTGATATAAGGAATATAATTTGCTTTTAGGCCAAAAGGCTTTATGGTAACTCCAATCTGAGATCACTTAAAAATATTCAAAAAATACATTGAACCTTTAGAGAAAGCACCTTTAGAAAAAAACAACTTGAGGGAAAACTATTTAAAAATTACATCCATAAATAATAGTAGCTAATGCTAAGTGCTAGACTGTACTCTATGCATTAACTCATTTAATTTTCACAATACTCTTAGGAGGCATGTAGATTATCCTATTTTAAATGGTGGGGAAACTGAGGCACAGAGTTCTTAAGCAAAACCATATAGCTATTGGTGGGGGCAGGCTTAGGGTTCAAGAGATTCAAGCATTTATGTTCTTAATCCTTCTGCCAACTGCTTCTTCTTAATATCAGAACAGGTGAGAAGTATATCAATGTGAGTCCAATCTGGAGATAGAAACCACACAGTGATTTAAACGGGATATTTAACACCAAAAAACCATTAAACTTTGATAAAAGAGTAACTATCAGGTATTAAAAAAAGAAAAACAGGGCCTCCCCGGTGGTGCAGCAGTTGAGCGCTGGGTTGTGAAGCTGCCCGCAGCCTCTGCAACACCGGTTCGATCCCCGGCCACTGGAGAGTGTCACACATGGTGCGCAGACCTCTCCTGCTGCCTGCTGCTCCCCTCAGCAGTGTATTTCATCAGTCTGCCTGTTCTGCTCTCTGCTCTGGCTCTGGTGAAATCTCTCACCCTACTGCACTTCTGACTGTACGCAGTGCTTGTATAAATAAATAAATAAATCTTGAAAAAAAGAAAGAAAGAAAAAAGAAAGAAAAACAAACACCTGTGTGTGGTACTGAAGGAGAGTACCCAAGAAAGGACAAGCTTGGAATCAGGCCTGAAGGTCTAATAACAGCCCATTGGGTGGCAGAGAAATTTGCACTGATTTGCCAGGCCATACCTGACCCATGGTTGCTAGACAAGCAGGAAACAGCTCTCTGGAACGTATGTGGGCGGGGGAAGCAGGTTGCTGGGCACACACCATGCAGAGAATGGGGGTGCTGGAAGATATGGAACATGCGGTAACAATGTTGGCAAGGCCACAAGCAAATATTTGGCCAGACCAGGGCTATGAGGGTGTTGAGGGACTGCACTGTCTGGGCACTGGATTGACAGCATCAGTGCATCATTGGGTGTCCTCACTTCCAGTCACTGACCCCAGGCAGCAGTGGGGAGGAGCAGGAGAGCTCCTTCCTCCTGCAGTATTGTTTTAGAATGCTTTACTGAGAAAGCTTAACATGATGCTTCCTCCAGGGAGAAAGTTTTAAAGGATCACTTGTGTTAAAACATGTATGTATGGAGTTGAGGGCAGCACACTGATAAGTGGGGCAGTCTAATCCCCTCATGCTTCTTTGTAATGTGTCCAATCCTGTTTTTCTAAGGACCTTTCACCTGGTGAGTAACCCAGACCTCGTGCTGGCAGTGTCTCTGACCAAGGTTAGAGATGAAGATGATGGCTATCCAGTTATTGTTCAGGTAAGATGTATACAGGCTAAAGCATAATCACGGTCCCCTGTTGAATTAAATTTTAGTAACATCCCATGCTTGCTTTCTTCTGGAAAAAGTAAAAGAATGTCAGAATTCTCTGTGTTAAAAGACTACAATAGTCTGTCTAGATTTCAAATTGAGCTTGTTCATGTAGCTCTTGATATAGTTTAATTCAACAGATGGTGATTGTGGGCTTGCTGCATGTCAGGAGCTATGCTAGCTACTTGAATCTGATCCAATGGCAAGCCTGAGAAATTGTCCCTCTAGTATTCATGGAGCATACAACCTCAGTGGTCCTCAGGTACACATGCTTTGAGTCTAGTGATGGGGAACATGTGCAAGTCCCCACTAACCCAACAATTGGAGGGGAAGGATACGGTCAGAGGTCTTCTTGGAGAATGTGAGCTCCTAGGTGCCAATTATGCATTGAGACTCATTTGAATTACATTTTAAACACATTTTGCAAGTGCTTTAGTGCAAAAACAAATTTTGTAGACTCCAGAGACGTCTCCATTTGACTTTTGAACAAAGACATAGGAAATTCTTTTTCCATGTTTGTCTGTCATCCTCAGTGACTTATAACCAAAGACTAATCTAGACACATTTGTGTTTCTCCTTGGTAGGTGGAGAGAAAGTTCAAGAGAGTCCCATCCCTGTATTTGCTTTCTGTATCTTCCAAAGAACTCACCATTGCTTTTTCTGAGCAGAATATATTGTCCCCAAATAACATTTGTTTTATTTCCTATTTCGAACAGCAATGAGGCAACTTGTTTTGCTGTTCCTGGATCCGAAATTGGGATATAGCAATATGGACAAATATCAGAGCTTAATTAACTCTTCCATACTGATGATAAATATGGACTAAAAATTTATTCTAGGAGACACAGTGTTAGAGCATCGCGTTCTTCCCTGTTAGGTGCCTCTTTGGCACAGAGCACAGTAAGATAAAACCTCATCCAAATGCAAATTTAGTACCTTAATCAGTTTCATAAAGTTATAGATATGGATATTTTTCCCTTAAGGTTTCCATTTTATAAGAAATGAGTTTGCTCTCAAGGTAATTTGTATTACCTTTCAAAATTTTTTCTTTGCTGGTGTTTCATTTTTATCTCCTGAAGCGATCAGTTTTTGAGAAAATATTAAAGTTCATATAAAATAAAAATGAGTCATGTTAGGTTAATGCTACCAGAACCCCTCCCTGTACCTTAAAATAGTGTCTTTGATTTTCCATACCTTTGAGGGATGCTCTGTTGTCTGTCCTGTTAAATCAATTCTGAAGGCTCATTTTTTTGCTCTTTACCATCAATCTCTCCTTGGTAAAGTAAGTGTTATTCTTTAGAGAGTTCCATAAGGTGGCATGATGTGTTTGGTTGGAACTAATCTGCTGGTTAAATCTGTTACATTGAAACTACTCATTTGAGCCAAGTTTTATAATTAGAATAATTATGCTGCTTCTATTACATATAAAACTGAGTATAATCACATTTAAAAAAAATAACTTCCTGATGATCAGTGATATGCAAATTTGCTTATCAAAAAGTACTTTTTCATTTATTGAATTATGATATTTTATAGAAAAACTGATCATTTCACACACTAATGGCAGTATAAACAACCTTTTTAGAAAATGCTTTGATGTGATAATAAGACTGTATATGTTATAATATTTTAGAATAATTTTATTTTATTAACAATTGTACTTTAGGAGTTTGTTCTAAAGATCTACCATAGATTTACAGAAAAATGTGTTTATATGATTGTTCATTGCTCTTTTGCTTACAACCAAAAAATTTGGGAAATAATCTACATGATTATCTGTTGGGCATTGGTAAAATAAAATATCCTTAAGAGCAAATAGTATACATCTTTTAAAATTAATGTGTATTTTGTGATTCCATTTTTGTAGCTTAAGGAATAATATTTATAAATGTAAAGATAGCATGTATATTATCATCAGATATCATTAATACTTATCGCTGCATAAAATTATGATCAATTATACACTCTGGCTTGATGCTATGAAATCTATGACTGCTAATTCATAAACTTACCTGTTTATTTTACTCCATATTTTACCTTTCCCTCCCCAGAAATATAAACCATATTACAATGGGACTTCCAATCAAAAGTGGAATTACATAGAAAATATGAAAACTTTTATGGCCTTTCATAGCACTACATTAGATAAGGAAATCACAGCAGCAAATTATGCTGGTATTTGTACATCTTCTGTGATTAAAGAAGAAAACATTGATCAACCAGTAAGTGGTTCCTTTCTATTGAGGATAAAGGTGAAATAGAGGGAAGTGGGGTTATTTAATAAGTCAAGAATAGTTTTTTTTTTCCTAGAAAACCTTATATTTGCACACACTGAACACTGATTTGTAAATGAAATCACTTAGGCAGTGTGATTCTGGTTAAGGAAAAATGAAGGAACACTGATACTTCCCTCTGATTGCATTATTTCAATGGCTCCCTATCACCAGTACCACCTTTGTTTTCATTATTAGTTCACCAAGACATACACTTGAAAAGATAATATATATACACTTTCCAGGTGTGCCTGCCACACTAGGATGTCACTTCACTCCAGACAGAATATTAAAATGCAGTGGTTGTGTCTTTAACTGCATTATATTTTATCTCAGTAATAAAATACAAAGTTAATAAAGGAAATTTTACAGAGAAAAGAATTAGTCCAATCAGTTGTTTAGTATTTTGTACAGAAACACAAGGCTACTTACAGGACTTTGAAACTGTTTGCATCCTGGAGGCATAGCTTAATTCTGGGAACCCCACTCAATTGTATCACATTTTTCTTTCCGTTTGCAGTTTCAAAGTGCTATATAATATAAATTAATTAATTAAAACTCTAGTTTACATTGTGTACTTGACCATGGCCAAACAGAACAATTCAGGAAGGACGACCATAGGGATTGATGTCTTAATGAATGAAAAATTCATTTTCTGAATCCTTTCAGCAGCTTCTTTAATAAGAAAAATCATTGGTGCCCAATTATAAAACCTATGCTTTTCTAAACAAATAATTCTGTATGTAATATTCATTCAATTCACCTGAGAGGGATGCTTAATTTTCTGTCTTCCAGTAATTTGAAAAAAAAAAAAAGGCTAACAAATGTAAATTTAGAGAATTCTATAGTGGAATTGAAGAATTACATCTTCAACAGCATCATCTAAATGTTGACTTTGAATTGAGGTAACTCTATCTATTTATGGGGAGTAGTTGAATTAATACGACAAAGGCAAAAAATCCACGAACCTGGAATCAGTATTTTTTTCTGTTTTCCAGTGCTACCACATACAACTTGGGTATCCCTTTGATAAAAATTTGCCTCTCTGAGTTTTTGTTTTCTCAGCTGTAAATTGAGAATGATGACATTAGCTTTGACTGTACTTAACTTTCAGGCTGGTATGAAAACAAATTCAAGAATCTATTAAAAATTTATTATGGAAAATTTCCTACATATGCCAAAGTAAAGAGACAATACAATGAATTCTCACGTATCTATCATTAGAGGTTTTGCAAACAACCCCAGTCATGTGTTATTTCACCTCAAGCATGCACCTTTAAAAATCTAAATATTTTCTAGGGCCTCCCTGGTAACGCAGGTGATTGAGCACAGCGCTGTGAAGCTGTCCACAGCCTCTGTTGTGCCAGTTCAATCCCCGCTGGCTGCCGAGCAACCCACATGGCACGACAGACCTCTCCTGTCGTGCCAGCTGCTCCCCTCAGCAGTGTATTTCAGTCAGTCTGCCTGTTCTCTTCTGTTCCTCATTCTGTCTCTGATGAATCGTCTCACCCTCCCACACATCTGGCCTGTACCCTGGTTCTTATATAAATAGATAAATCTTTAAAAAAAATCTAAATATTTTCTTAATATAATCATGACTTTATCACACCTGTCAAAATGAACAATAATTCTTTGGTCATCAAATACCCTACAATCAATTAAGAATAAGAGTTCATGTGATTACAAGCTAATCACACGTTAAAGAAAAAAAAAAACCAACAACTTTTTATACAGTGGCATCCTTTCAGTCATCATTGCCTAAATCAACTTCATAAGGAGTATCAGAAGGGTCAGTTTTGTTCAATTCTATTGTCCTCACATTTATTGAGCTTTTAATGTAAATATTAACTTTACCTCCTCAGCTATGCCTTTGACTACCCAAAAATGTGGTTCATAATTATTGATAGGATAAGTACTTAACTTTCTTTTCTATCCATCTCACTTCTGTATTCTGGTGTAACAAAATTCCTGAAAATGTAGTGACTTTAACCAATAACCATATTTGGCCTTGTAGGTCAGCAGTTTGGCCTAGAATCACCTCTATAGTTCTGCCACTCTTGGCCAGGGTCACTAATGTGGTCGTAGTTATCTGGTGGTATTCAGTGGTTTGGCAGTTCTGTGGGTACTGAATGGTCAAAGATAGTCTTCCCTACATCTGGTGGTTCGCAGGCTGTAAGCTGAGGTCTTGATTCTTCTCAAGGTTTCTGGAGGAGGCTCACTGAAGTTTGTTCACACTTGCAGGTTTCTAATTACAGTCAAAAGAGTACAAGCTCCAGTGTGCAAGCTATTTTATGCATCTGCTTGCATACATTTGCTTAAGTTACTTGGGAGAAAACAAGTCACACAGTCTTGCCAAGATTCAAAACTCAACTTCTTGATTGAAGGAGCAGCAAAGTCACATTTCAAAGCACAGACAAACAAGGATGGGATGGTTTTATTGTGGCCATCTTTGCAAATAAGCTGCCACACAATTGAATGGTCCCTTTTCAGGGTTAAATTGGTGCCTGTTTTCCTCTGATGGACTCCTACAAGTTGTGATTTTGTTCTTAATTGTTTTTTGGGTTTTGGTTGTTTTTTGTTTTTTTTAATTTTGGTTTTTGTTTACTTTAAATTATATTTTTTAGCATTTTTATGAACTCATAGGATTTTGTATATTCCAAGTATTTAGAATACCATTCTTTTTTTTTTTAAGATTTATTTATTTTTATACAGAAGCTGGGGTACAGGCCAGAGACATGGGAGGGTGAGAGGATTCACCAGAGACAGAATGGGGAACAGAACAGGCAGACAACAGAAATACACTGCTGAGGGGAGCAGCGGGCATGACAGGAGAGGTCTGTGGCACTATGTGGGATTCTCGCTGGCCGGCCAGGATTGAACCCGCACTACGGAGGCTGTGGATGCTTCACAGGACGGGACTCAACCCACTGCGCCACAGGGGAGGCCCTTAGAATAACATTCTTATGTGCTGCCCCCAAGTTGTCCCGCTTTGGGTCAATGAAGGCACCTTTGTGTTGACTCCTGTGTCTTATAAATGTCATTCCTTTACAATTGTATGCCTCTTTTCCTTCTAACCACAAGACGTCCCTTGCTAATCTGGTATATTTCTTGCACCAAGTCTGGAATACTTTCTGCCAAAACCCCCTGCCAAAACACAAGTTATGCTCACTGATGCTGAATCGTCATTGCCTCTAGATATTTTCAGTCAACAAAATTTGGAAATTTTTTAATGTAATTATTAATAAGCAAAATAATGCATTCATGTTGAGATTTCAAATGCAGTATTTGGAGATTATAGAAGTGTTTTATTTATATTATAAAGTGTTCTACAAAAATGCTCTCACAGTTTAGATGTGCCTGTACAAAAAAAATCATCTTTCTTATTCTTTTTAGGGATACTATTATCTCTTACCTACTGGAAAGAAAAAAATGATGTTATGCTTGGCATGTGGACGATCCATGAGAGCAGAGAACAGACTGAGACAGTTGCTGCCAGGTGTGCCATTCCTGTGTGCTTCAGGCTCCAAGACACAGAGACCCTCCTCACGAGGGCCTTTCAAGGTCATCAATGTGGCTGAGGTGTGGAATTATCTGAGCTCTGCTAATACGTGTGTGGCACCAGTTTGGAAACTTTGATGCATTTATTATCTGCCTTGCACTCAAGTTCCTCTCCATTCATCCAATTCATCTTCCTCTGATGTACCTTTACCATTCTACCTGCATGGATTTCCTTTTTCACATTGTAATTTAAAATACATTGTCTCTTAATAGTTCGATACACTCTTTGAAGTTAATTGGGCACTCTGCGGCTTTAATCATCTGCTGACACCTTCTACTTACTGCTCTCCGGTGTGGGGAAGTAACTAAGTAAGCCTTTACTCAGTGGAGCAGCATTTTTGCCTATATCTACAGCCTACAGTCCTTTTTTTACTAGTAGGGAATATTTCGGGGGTATTTGACAAGTTATTGTTAATGACTATTCAGGTTGGGTGCCTGAATTCACACATCCATGTCTAATACTATTTATAGCTTAAGGGAAAAAAAAATCTCTGCCTCCTTCCTGTGATCTTAATCTAAAATGGCACCATTTTAAAAATCCTTTCCTTCAAGTTTAGAAGTGAGAAGAGCTAAAGGGAACTTACACACCTACATAAAAAGATGTAGGGAAACTTCAGTCCTGGTTTCTCAGGGTTTACCTACCCCATTCCCAGATCACGCTCCTTTCTCCCCTAAATATGATACCCCTTGGGGCATTGAGAGATGTAGAATAGGTAATAACAGGTTATAGTGAACATCAACTGCAGCAATAACTGATGGGAGAAAGAAAGTAAGTTCTCTGGGAATGAACAAAGGCCTTTGACTTTGCTTCAGGAGTAGGAAGTGTTGAGGAGGTGGTGGTCAGCTGACTGGAAAGAACCCCCAATTTTACAGCATTTCAGACAGAACTTTTGCCTCGGGAGAGCATCCTGGGTAGGGATGGAAAGGGAAAATGCAACATGGCGTTCCCCACTCTCATTACTATGTGGTTAAGTCTGTATTCACTCTCCTCTCACTCATCAATACCTGCCATCCCAGAGAGAGACCTTGTTATAAAGTTAAAGATTAAAACAATAGCTGTCATGCAAATGTCCCATTACCTCAACCCCGGGTTCTCTCAGACCTTCACATCCTTCCATCCCATCACCTGTCACTGGGAAAGGCAAAGCAGGAAACAGGAGAAGGTCAGAAATACAACTCAGAGGCCCAAAGTCATCTAATGAGCCAGTCATAGACCTAGGAGGAGAACTAGGGGATCTGACTAATGTCCTTCCCACTATAACATCCAAAACCTTGAGTCTATGAAATGAGCCTTTCAAATTTAGATGTCATGCACATATTTATTAAATTAATAGACTGAAATATACGAAAATAACAGAAATAAAAGAAAAAAAATTAGTAGTTCTGTGATTTGTTTTTTAAATCAGGCTGACTTATCTTCTCATGAGGCTGAAAAAACCCGAAGTTATTATGAAGAGCGTCTATTATCTTTACGGATGAAGACCTGCACGCAAGTTGTCTCTCGTGGTGGTTCGGCAGCCACGGCCCAGAAGGCAGTGAAAATAATTGCATACAAAAATGGAGATGGATATCGAAATGGGAAGTTAATTGTGGCTGCAACGTTCCCCGTGGTAAGTGGCTATCACTTAAATGCTTCTTGCATCCTCAGAGGTAACGATAATGGTGATTCTTCAGACAAGAAAAAAGCTGCGGATTGAGTTATAAATGTCCCTGACCAGTTTCACCAATTTAAACTGATGAGATCAAGATCTCTGTTTTCTTAAAGACACTCTTTTTAATTGTATTTCTTGGGATATAGACTTTGAAAAATGAGAAACCACAGTATGGTTTTAGATTGACTCCAGAGCAAAGATACATAAAGCAGGGAGAAAGCTAAACTACCAGATTGTCTTCATTCTTGTGCGGGGCAGATGCCTTTTTTGCTTTGCTTTCCATTCCAGTTTCAGGTTGTGTTGTTTCAATATTCTAAGAGATGTCACCTCACTTATCACCTGGGGAACCTAAGTTTTTATTTTTGATGGGGTGTTTTGTCTCATTTTAAAATTGGAAAAGCTGTGCTGGGAGGGATATGTGGTCTCTGTCTTGAGGCTGTTCCCCTCTAGTCCCAGGAAGAGCAGAGAACACAAAAGGTTCCACCCTGCGCTTGTCTCCTTTGGTGATTCTCTTCTCTATACATTCTGGTTAATACTTTTAATGACATATTTTTCAGCAATGTTAAATATGATATAGAGTTACCATTTGTTCAGTGGACTAAGTACAAAAGCTAATAACTCCAAGATCCACCCTGGGATCCACAGCTGGCTTTTGTGGTCTAGGTTAAAATATTAGCTTTTTAGCCTGTTTTCCTATCTGCAAAATGGAAGTAATAATTGTGTCAGGTTGGTTTGACAGTCAAATTTTTATTTTAAAACAGTTCATCTGTACAACTTATTAAAAAAATTTAAAGCTTCTAAAACAACAAAATTGAAAGTTTATTTCTAGGTTGAATATTTCTTAGGAAATGCTCTCATGAGAAAATATATTAACATATGTCAGATACTGTTTTAAATTTTTGGAGCTTCAACTTTTCACAGTTGGATTGGATTCCTGTTGTGGGATTAGGTAGGACAATCTATCAAAAATTATCTCTAATCAGAGATCAAATTGATACTTATTTAGCTTTCAATTTTCTCAAAGGATTTTCTCAGATTTCTTGAAGAACAAGTTCTTCATGATTATTTCCTATTCCCTTCACTCCCTTACACTCTGTGTCATCTAGCTTCTTACAGAATGTACTGAACAACTTGGTCTAGCTAGAGCAGCCTCCAAAGTATATACCAAAGATGGAACCTCAATCCTTTCCTTGCGTGATTTGGTTTTATGGGCTCTAGATGAATATTTTGGCCAGAGAAACTCCAAGGAACAAAAGAACGATGCAGTCCCTATTGGAACAAAAGAGACAGCTGTTGAAAGCATGGAAGGTTGGTTACATTCTACAGAATTTACCTGGTTCTATTTATGTTTAATCCTGAAAACTTAAATGTGACTCATTCAGTCATCCCTTCTAGAATTTCAAAATCACAGGAAATTACTTCTAAGAATAAGAGATTCTCATATTGTTTTTACTTTGCAACTAATATGAAAAAAATCAAATTCTATTAATATTGCTTCAGCATCAAAGTAATAAATAAATTTACCTAGAATTTACAACCTGTGTTTAACACTTTATCTGGTTTATCAAACATGAGCAGCTTTTGTACTCAAACTCAGGACCAACTGGGCCCCACTTAAGGAAGTGGGTCCAACTCCAAATATCTTCCCACCTTTAGAAGAGAAGCTACCCCTCTATACTTTCTCTGTTCATATTCCCCCTGTCTGCCCCAGCTCATCTCCATGGCTCTATAACTCCCACAAGCCCCAGAAAATGTGTATCTATTGCAGTGTGTTCTTAGCACACTGTATATAATTATCTACTACATCGTAATGAGTCTCACTAGAGTATGTACAACTCGAGGGCAGGACTGTGTCCCTAGTAACAGTTTGCTAAATGAAAGAGTATCACTAGCAGTGGGTCAGCAGTTATCTTAGTTTTCCACTGTTGTAATATTGAGTGGCATACCTTAGACATTAAGAACTTAGGTTTTGGAACTAGAATACCCAAGTTCAAATCCTAGCTCTGTCACTTGCCAGCTGAATGATCTTGGGGAAGTTGCGTAGCTTCACAGTACCTCAGTTTCTCATCTGTAAAATAATATGTTTTATGGAATTTTTATGAGGAATATATAAGTATATATTCAAATAAATGAATGAATATTAGAAATGAATATATATTCACATAAAAAATATACTTATCTTTGGTCCTCATAAATGTGAATGTATTCATAAGACTATGAATATATGTATGTGCATAACATAACTATATATCTATCACTTAGGACAATGCCTAGTTGATAATTACCAACATTATATGAATACTAGCTATCATTATTATGTGTAGAATTGTGTGTTTCTCCCACTTATTATATACTTCAGAGACCAGATCATGGGGGATTTTTACCCACACCAAACAATTCTATGGTACCAGCCGTTTTTTCTATAATTTAACTCAATTCTGACATTATCGACCTAGGGATAGCATCAGACCCCACAGGGTAAGGGCTCCCAGAGATTGAACCCTTCCACTTCAATGCTGCTCACAAGTTTGGTTGTTACCTGTACTTCTGACATGTTAGTTATAAATCAGAGGTTCCTCTGACCACCTCCTCATGTTCAATTAATTTTCTAGAGCAGTTCACAGAACCAGGAAAAGAGCTTCATCAGTGTAGGCATAATTGGTCATTAACTCCATGAGCAAGAGATAGAGGAATTCTGAGAATTTCAAGTTTCTAATCATGACTTGGTCTTTTTCGGAGACCAGCTCCCATCCAAGAGCCCATCAAGAGTTACCGCATTAGAACAGAACATTCCTATACCCAGAAAAATTCGAGGAAATTTAGCTCTGTGTCAGGAATAAAGTATATATTTTCTGTTATTTCACAGTGATATTATTGTTTTGTTTTCTAGTGAGCTTTTAAAAATAGTTATGTGATCATTTAATGCCCAGCTAATGACCTCAGCATATAATTCTGCCTTAACTTGATGTATAGAGTATCTGATCTTCAGGTTCTAGATCTTAAGGTTCTCAAATACTCTTCTTTCAATCTTTTATTTAAAATCCCACTAGCTTTCAGATTCTATTTAATTTAGTATTATTTTTAATTGAGGTAACTTTGGTTTACAAAATTGTATATGATTTGGAGGTTTAGGTTCACACTGCTTCAGTTACCATACCTCATCCACCACTGAAGCATCCTAGTCAAATTTTTACTTACAATCCCAGTTTGGTGTCAGATCTGTAAGGTTTGTTTTGGCTCAGTTTTTTCTGTTGCATTGTTTCATTCCTTTGTATTCCACAAATGAGTGAAATTATCTGGTATTTGTCTTTCTCCTTATTTTTTGTCTTATTTAATTTAGCATACACCCCTCCAGTTCCAGTCATGTGGTAGCAAATGGCACAATTTCATCTTTTTAATAGTTGTGTAGTATTCCATTGTAAATATACTATTAATGCATCTTTATCCACTCATCTTTTCATTGGGCACTTAAGTTTGACACTTCAAGATGGGGAGGAGGAAAGATGGGGGGTTCACAGGAGGGAAGGGTCCTCAGGGCCTATGGAAGAGGGTTGTGGATGATTTGGTGGTGGGTGTAGTAAGTATATCATGGCAACGTACATCTGAAGAGGTGTGAATATATAGCTCTAAATTATATGCAATTTTGTAAATCAATATTACCTCAATAAAAAATAATACAATTAAAGCAAAACAAACAAAACAAAAACCTGGTTTGGAAGTAGTATGATTCAAACAGGATTATGGCTGTCCCTCCCCCTCTCTCTCTCTATAAAGGTTATCCTTGAATCATGCAGGTCCATTAACACGCTACCCCCTTTACTGAATTGTGGTTTGACATTATGCCATCAATTTTCAATCCTGACGCTGCTACTGTTTTGCTTTGTGACTACACCTCAGTTACATTATCAGTTACAAGGGAATAAAAAAGGGAATGGGCCTAGCTAAGAGTATCCGTCTGAGAATTACATATATTTGGACTTCTTAGTAAAGTGCATAGCCCAAAGTAAGTTTTGAATATCTGTTAATTTCTACTATAAGGTACAGTTATCTGTGCCACAAAACAACCCCTTTATGAAAAACTTGCAATAAATTTCTCTTAGATCCCAGGACCAGGAAGGGTGTATCTTCTGAGGAATTTATCACTTCATGAACCATGTGATTCTTGAAATTGTGTTTTCTGATTTTCTTTGGCCGCTAGGAAGCACAGATAGCAATTTGTGCTTTATTTCTAGCAAATAAAAACAGTGTGGTATTCATTTCCATTTAGTAATAAAAATATTGTCTACATTTTTGGATAGTTAGACCAAAACTCTTAATTCTATGCAGTTTGCTCTTTTTTTCTTTTACTATTCCCATGAGATTAAATGAGACAGACACTATTATCCTTTTAAGAAATGAGGCACTGAGGTACCTTATCTCTTGTTTTAGTCTATTCTCAAACTCTTTCCCCCCTTTCCTTGATTTTCTTTATCTGTTTTTAAATCTATTTTCAGTAAACCACTTCAAATTTCTTCAGCTCTAGGTGAAATAAAAGCAAGGGATTAAAATATATATTTCATTCAGATTAGTTTAAAAAAATTTGCTGTAGATAAATTTCTTATAAGATTTCTAGGGTCTCCCCTGGTGGCACAGGCGGTTGAGCGCAGCGTTATGAAGCTGGCCGGCCGGGGAGAATCCCACAAGGCAAGACAAACATGGTGCAGCAGACCTTCCCTGACTCCCCTCTGCTCCCCTCAGCAGTGTATTTCATTCATTCTGCCTGTTCTGCTCCCCACTCTGTCTCTGGTGAATCCTCTCACCCTCTTGCGCCTCTGGTCTATACCTGGGTTCTTGTATGCATGAATAAAAAAATCTTTAAAAAAAAAAAAAGACTTCTAAATTGGCATCTGTTCCTGGTATTGCCATCTAATCAAGTCATTTAAGAAGAATGAACTATTTTGAATAACCAAATAAACACATTTATTCATTTTTTTGTTGAAAAACGCTTTGTGATTTGTTTCCCAGAAAACCTGAGAATGAAAGTGAAAAGTACATTATCTCCAAAGTCTGGAACATCTGATAGTTTGGAGGGTATAGATAAGTCCCTGCTCACCCTTGTCCTCAGAAATCCTGTTGCCATCTGGGTATCATGTGGTGAACCATTTCTATCTCCAAATAGTAAGTTTTTGGGTTTTGTTTTCTTTCAAGCAAATGTGTAAAGGGGAAGAGAAATAAATTTTATAGCACCATAAGGAAATGAGTTAAATATATAATGTATATTGTCAACCTAGTAACAACACATTTATGCAAAGGAGAGGAAGGCCATCAATTAACATGTGCTAAAGGATAGCTGCACTCCTATGTTTGCCCAATTGCCTGTTTTTTCTTACTGGAATGGAGTATTCTGCATAGAAAAATGTCTAATTTAGTTGATAGAGATCCTTGGTCTATAAGACTGAGAATAATGGTATACATTAGAAAATAACAAATGAGTTTAATTCACACCAAAGACGACCTGTCTGCACATTTTCATTTTTAAGAATTGCACCCTTTAGGCAGTAGGTGGATGTTTAAAAAATGAATGGTTCCAAACCAGGCTTTCATCACCTCCGAATAGTTTGTGGAAGTGCAAAATGAAATATGGCTATTGCATATGGTAAATCTATATAATAAAACAGCACTGTTCTTTTTCCTCCTCCATTCCACAAAGAAATGCCTTAAGCCCTGTCATCTTTCAAATGAGGTTTCTTTTAATGACCCCTTACCTTTTAATTACTTCTTTCTAATTGAATCTGTTTCTTGAAGCAGAAAGTTCTTTATAAATTATTGGCTTGCATGATAAATTACTGTTGTTGAAAGAATGCAAGATAAAATATCATGTATTTTTATTATTTTAGCTTTGCAGAAAACAGAAAAGTTAGAAAAACAGAACTGGCTGAAAAAGGACAGAATTTTGGCTGATCTAGATACCATGAAACACAAAATGAGACAGTTAAAAGGTTGGTATGAACTAAAGCAAGCATCCCCATGTTTAATTTTGAATGTAACCTCAATTTTTTTCTACCGTTAGATAACAGATGTTTAACTGATTGCTATCTAACTATTGTGTTACGAGACCCTTGAGCAAGTCTAAAAACCCAATGATAACATCTTTTCAAAACTAATTCTACATTTATAAATTTTAGGTTAAAATGAACATTACATCACACACACACACATGCACACACACATATTCACACACGTTTTAAAAAGCAGGAGGTGTCTCAGTCCTAATACCACCCTACTGGTTTTGAAATAAATCTTAAACTGCCATTTTGTAGGCTTTGCAATTAGTCTTTAAGCAAAACTTGTCATTTGTTGGTTGTTTCTGGGGGAGAAGTTTTTAAAATAATCTAAGTGAGAAAGTACTAAAATGTTCAGGGGCATCAGTATCTCAGAAGAGTCTCCTTTTTTGTGCAACTTTAAATATATCATTCACTGTCAAAGTGGAACTGCTGGAGGGCAGGGTGTGAAAACATGCATTTGTAGAGGTTTGAGCCTATAACCCCTAAAACTCATACAATGGTGTAAACCAAATTTTCCTTGATTTAAAAAAAAAAGTGATCAACTGGCATATTTGTCCTTGTCTTCATTCTTTGTCACAGAATCAGTTTCCTAACCTTATGCTGTTCCCAGCATTTGAGACACCAAAACGGCTGTTTAGGGAGAAATAGTATGTTATGGACTTTAGTCTGGGAAGGAATATATTTTAGGCTTTATAATTGTTATAGCAGGATTTCAACTCCTGAGAATGTGCACTTCCTGGTGTCAAAAGCCTGTGAATCTTACTTCAATAAACAACACAATGAGTCAGTCCTAAGTGTACTAGGCAAAACTCTGGGTTGAAATGGGTTTTATCTAGTTCTTCCTGAAAGAATAGTTAGGTCTAAGTGAAAAACAGCTATTACTCTTGCTAACCTCTTCTACACCTACTACTATACATTTTCACTTGAATGTCCCATGGGCAGGTCCAAAACTAAACTGTCACCCCCACACACACATACGTACACACTTTTTCTAGCTAAACTGTCACCCCCACACACACATACGTACACACTTTTTCTAGCATGGACTGTACCACCATCCTCTCATTGTTCCCTCTCAGAAACCTGGGAGTCATTCTTGGCATGTCCTTCCCTCTCTTGTTTTTAAAGGAAACATCAGTAACTCTTGTTGCTTGAAATCTATTGTTTATTCAAATGAATTTTAACCATCTTAATGACCGCCTTTTTATCAAAGTTAAGCTATTTTCATCTATTCCTTGGATTACTGCAACAGTTTTCTAATGGATCTCCTGCCTCCAGTCTTGAGTGTGGTTTTTATTTTATGCATAATGGGTTGATTCTGGAGCTGGCACCATCATGGAAAAATGTAGAAGTGTTATTATGGTTCTCCAGGTATATAACCTTTCAAAGTTCCCTCTTACCTTCAAGACAAAGTTGAAGCTTCTTAATTTGGCCCTTCATGAGCCATCTCTCTGAAATGTCTCTTTCTCCTTTCTTATCCACTCTAATCCACAAATTTGGGGTTGTTGTTTTTTTCCAAGTCCTGCAGATATCCTGTGTGCTTTATTAACTTTGGGCCTTTGGCACAATTCAGTTTTCTTCACTTTAAACTTTCCTCTCTCCTGTTCTTCTGTATTGTTCCTACTCCTTCTATACTTTTCAGCTAGTTATGTCTTCCAAAGCCTTTCCTACCATTCCAAGTCAGAGATAATGTGGTTTATCACATCCTGAACTTCCCTCCTAATAGTTTTCATCTGTCTCTCCTATGTTACATTATCAATTCTATGCCCTTACTTGCTCTCTTAATATTTGTGTAATGACTGAATTATATCACTCCAGTGTGTTTTCCAAGCTCTATTCCTCTATCAGGTAAATGAATAGAAAGCAACACCCTGAAAATAGCACCTAGCAGAGCTGCCTTTATTCAATTCTGATTTTATAACGTATTTTCAACTTTCATTATAATTAAGCATTAAAAAGACGTTTAAAGTTTAGTTGGTATCATCTATAATATCTCTGCTGAAAATAGCCTGTTTGGTGAGACAATGTCTATTATGGAGGGATGCACAGATGTGGTATCTTAGAATTCGGTGCTAGAATAAATCTTATCTGTACTCAAAATCCAGTATGTTTTCTGTGATCAAATATAAATTCAATTCAAGCTTACAAAGACCAACTCTGAGGAAAGCCTTTCCTTGGTTGGGATTATGAGAATTAATAAATACAAGTTTAAGTTCAGCTCACTGCAGCCCCTGTTAGATTGTGAGTTTCTTGCGGTTTATATAGAAGAGAAGGGTAAGAGGTATGAATAATTATCTGAATTGATTATTTCTTATTATAGCCAGTGGTAAATGGAACAAATATTTATATAGCATATACTGTATACAAAATACTCTGCTAAGCTTTCTTTGTATATGTTTTGTAAACATGATCATTGCTACTATTAATAATAATACTAGTGCTTACTTTGTAAAGTGTTTTTGATTAAGTAACAAATGCCAGATTTTTCCACATGCTTAGCACATAAATACTCAATAAATATTAATATACTGCTCCCGAGAATACACCTCATTTTCTCACTTGGGGTCTTAAAGGCTGATAAATAAAACTAAGAAATACCAGAGCAGGTCAAAATATCACTTTTTAAATATAAAGGCAATGCTGGAGCATTTTATTTATTGTAAGAGCTAAAAGTATCTGTGAATTGAGCCCCCAAATTAGTTGGACTTATGCTCCCAGGCACAGATGATGCTAAATCAGGGTGAGCCTCCCAATAAAGGAGAGGTATAAGAAGAAAAGAGCTGTCCAGGTGACATTTATAGTCTGAAAGAATAGCAAATCACTCATGTTATCAAGCTTTAGCAATTAATAGTTAGCTGTTACCTCTATAAAATAGCACATATGCAAATATTCAAAAAGAATATGTAAATGATGTATTTAACATATTTTGCCTGATTTCAATTTCTATTATCCCTATCTATGTAAATAATATATTGTTATGAAAACCTCCCCTCAAACTAAAACCTTTTGTGATGACATTATGCCTCCATAAAAATTATAGTTCAAATGAATTCATTTCCCCAAGACCATTAGAATCAAATTGACAAAAACCAATAATGCATAATGTGTTTTATTCTTTCCTATATTCTATTCTTGGCTCACAACACTGTAAATGATAAACTATTGGTGAACAATATTAGTGTTCTAAATGTGTCATAAATAAAATATCTATTGAAATATTATCAATAAGAATTTATGTATCATAAATTAATGTCTGCACTTCATGAATAGAATTGGCCAAAAACTGTATTTAGCGTAAGTTTCTTTTATGATTTTTCTGCTACCACTCTGGTCTTTTCCATAACAAGTAACTATATGACATTGTCCTCTTACTCATTGGCTGATTGATTCAATTATGTTCGAATTCACATCCATAAATTGCAGATGAGTGCTTATTAGGTGCTTGGAGTTCTGGTTGCCCTGAAAAGTCATCACTACCACATGCTTTTATTGTTGGATGTGTTTCTATAAGCTTGAGGTACAAAAGCAAAAATGCTTTATCCTCTTCAAGCACAGAATTATTTTCAAAACGTTTTGTTCGTAGTCTAGAAATCTACTTACTAAGAATCTTTGGCAACAAAATTAGGATTCAGAGCTTCATTTTGGTATTTCTATTATTGTATCCACCTGAGTATTAACTTTCTCAGAGAAGCCTTCTCTGACACCTCAGACTAGGTCAACCACCCCAGTTACATGCTTTTGTAGACCCTGGATTTCTCTGGCATGCCACAATTGCTATCAATTATTGGTGTAATGATTTCATTTATATCTGCCTTCCCTTAACTTTAGGCAAGGACTCAGTCTTTAACATGTTTGTATTTGCATCATCCAGCACAATGTCTGATCTGTAGCTGGTGCCCAGCCAAGGTTTCTGGAAGGAATACAAAAGAGTAGACTTTAATTTCACTTAAGAAATTTAGAGATCAGTATGAGGCCCACAGAAAAAGAAAACATTTTCATGACTTTTAAACCTCTTTTATAATGATTTTAACTGGTCTGGTTGAAAAGAAAAATTCAAACTTCTACACTTATTAAATTACACCTGTGATTCTTTAAAATATAGCATTCTAAAAAATATTTTCTTTTCCCACAGCTTCTTAACAGCCTATAGGGCATCACAGAGGTGGCAAAAACTAATCATACTCATGGGGTATTATTAAATAGAAAAAAAAGGCCTCCTGTCTCTTGGGTTAATATTATTTTAGAAATATTTAATCTCCAGGCTGCTAAGCTAATTGTGGGGGAAAGCCTTATTATTAGTGAAGAGAACAAAACATATGTTCCATGACTGGAAGAGATGATAGGCTATATAGGTCATAGATTCTATTTGACTAAATTACCACTGAACCATATCATAGATGAGAGGCTGGGGCTAGTGTGGAAGTCAGTACGTTAGCTCTTTTCCATCTGTACAGTGAGTATGCATATTCTGAGTATTTAAAGACTCCAGCTCCCATATGAAGAGGCATTGTTAGATATTATTACCTTAGGCATCTTTGCTTTTATGATATATTTAGTATTTTAGCTTATGCTCCCAAGTGGAATGATTTATGCATAGAAAGTCAAACCAATTTATTTGAAATTTGAAAACCCATCATCAGAAACAACATTTCCAGGGACTTCTTTCCCCAGGGCGCCGAGTAGCAGCATGTCAGCCGGCCACCATGGTTTCCAACAAAAGCCCTGTGCAGCCTGTGGTGGTGGAAGGAGGCTGGATGGAGCAGACTCAAGAGGAAATTAAACTCATGGAGCTTATAAGACATACAGAGGTACGTTCTTTAGGACTCCAGACATTAAAGACGTTGCCTCTTTCCTATGCTTTTAAAGTACAGTATTGAATTTTAAAATTATGCTATTAATATATTCTCAGCATTTGGTCAGTTATAACCACATAAGCATATGCCAAGCATTGAGTTGGCATTTGGAGAGTAGCTATCTAAAAGACAGCCAGCTCATATGAAAGTCTGTTTTGTTTGAATGGAGACCAGGAATTATGACCTTAGCAAAGAAGAGAAAAAGGCCCAGTGGATATGTACAAATGTAATTATAATAAGTATAGTCAAGTTGAGCCTTATGGCTTCATTGCTCATTACTCCTAAGGGTATATCTTGATATGTAAAAAGAGCAAGGAGCAAAATACTAATTGCAATGGAGACATTCAAAAGTGAGGAATTCAAAAAGCAGTTTTAGTCCAATTGGTTAATCAGTCAGGATTGCCAGACATAAAAAAGTCGAGAAGAGAAAGGTCAGCTGTTGAGAGAGGATTGGGGATAGAGACATGGGGAAAACTTTTTGCTTTGTGAAGTTTTCATCAAAATGATATGTTCTTATATAATAGGGTTTCTCAAATCATGAAATGTGTTCAATCTAAATCTTAGGCGTGTGCTCAAGTCAAGGTTACCAGAAAAAAAGAAATTGACATTGCTAGAAATATGACTTCATGCCAAGCTAAGAAGGATAAATCACTGACCAGGGAATGAATGCAAAGCATTGAACTAGGACATGCTTGAAGTAGGATGAAAAGCTGCCTGGCAGGAATCTGGCAAAGTAAGAGGGTGGCTGCTGCATTTTAAAAGACAGCGAGTAACAACTTAAACAACAATCATACACACCCCCTCAAGCATTTCTTGGTAAAAGGAAATGATGTTGTGATTCTAATCAAAAACTCATTTGTTAGATGCAGAAAAATTATTCAGTAACAGAAACACCATGTAGAAGACCAGAAACACATCTTACTCATTTCTCCAAATCATAAATGAAAGTCAAGTGCTTTGCCAAAATAAGTGCCTTACTATTATTACTCTAATGATTATTATTGCCTTTAGTGATTCAATGAAGGAGGGGAAATTTACAGAAGAGTCAGTGACACGGGAGGGTAATGCACTTCCTAATGTTTTTTTCAATATAATTTGCAATTTTAAGATAGTTCTATCTTTCATCATGTTTTTCACACACAATAAATAGACAATTCTCTAAACATGGCATTCTCTGGAATTTTTCTCAACAGGCCCACCTTTCTGAAATCCAGGAACTGCAATCCAAGAGAAATTCTCCAGTTGCAACTAAGGGTATTGCTCACAAAAAGAGCAGCCTTTATAAACAACCAAATGCAAAACGAGTATGGGTTTATCTAAATGGAGGCAGACCTGAAGATGGCACTTATGCCTGGGGCAAAACTATTACCGAGGTAATTCTTGTGTGAAAAGGAATGTTTCAGAGTGTTTCAAATCTCAACTCTGACATTTCTGGATTGTTTGGTCAAATTATATTACTTCTCTAAACTTCATTTTCTCATCTGAAAAATGGGAATAATACTTCCCTCACATTTTTTGGCATGATGATTAAGTGAGCTTGTATGTATGAAAACGTAAGTCCAACACTGTGTGATATGTGGGTCAGAACATGACACTTATCCAGCAGAGGACAGTGACAGTTATACCCATTGCAGCCAAAGAGTAAACTGTTAAGTATCTAACATATTTTTCATGCTTCATTTTATTTTTAAATATTTATTTTATTTATTTATTCATGCAAGAACTGGGGTATAGGCCAGAGGGATGAGAGGATTCGCCAGAGACAGAGTGGGGAACACAACAGGCAGATCTACTGAAATACACTGCTGAGGGGAGTAGTGGGCGAGACAGGAAAGGTCTGCTGTGCCATGTGGGTTAGCTCCCCCGCCAGGGATTGAACTCATGCCATAGTGACTGGCAATAGCTTGATAGCACTGAGACTTTATTTATTTGTTTTTAAAGATTTATTTATTTGTGCATACAAGAGCTGGTGCACAGGCCAGAGATGCGGGGTGTGAGGGATGTGAGAGGATCCACCAGAGATAGAGTGGGGAACAGAACAGGCAGAGTGACTGAAATACATTGCTGAGGGGAGCCGTGGGTGAGACAGGAGAGGTCTGCCTCACCATGTGGGTTTCTCCCTGGCCGGCCAGGGATTGAACTCGTTCTGCAGAGGCAAACTACTTCATAGTGCGGTGCTTAACTCCTTGTGCCACCAGGGTGGCTGAGACTTTAATCCCTGCACCTTCTTGCTTCACTTTAAACCCAGTTCACAAAACATTTTTCCCCCTCAGGAATTACTCAATAGATATATTTTATGTGGAGAAAAAAACATTACAGAAAACATATTATTACTACACAGAGTCCTTAAAAGTATGCCATATTTCTGAAACTAAGATATTGATTAAGGAAAAGGTGGGTAGCCATTTATTGTTGGCAATGTCAAGGATGTAATCCTAAACTTTGACATTTGTCTTAATATATAAATAAAAACAAGCCACATAAAAAATGGACTTTGTTAGTTTTTTTTTTTTTTTAAGTCTCATCTATTGAAGTGATATCTTGAATAGTTGTTAGGCTTTTTTATTTTGTGAAATATTTTTGTAAATTTTTCTGGGACAAGAGAAAGTCACACAGAGATGAGGTGTTGTATGGGACAAAGGGAGAGACACGGCTGTACAGTGTACTGTCCTAGAAAAGTTGATGGGTGCTGATGAGGACACCTAGAACAGCAGGGGCACCTTGAGTTCTCCTCCTAAAGAGGAGTTCGGTTTCAAATTGTGAAGGAAACCACTCCTTTTTTTGAGAGGAACTTCAAATTAGAACAATTCATAAATTGTGAATTTGAAGCAAAAAATCATGCCCCAGGATTTGAGAACCAATTTGCTGTACCTGATAGAGTTAAAAATCTGGAAAATGCTTATTCAAAACTAGTAATACAAGTAAAAGAACTCACAGACGTGGTGGGAAATAAGAAAATGCTCTAAAAGGAGAGTGAAAGTTTTTCAAGAGAAGACATCCTAGAAAACATGAAATATTTCTTCCTTGCTTGTTCTTCAAAAATCACAGCATTCATATTATAGATGCTAAGTCATGAAAAGCACTCAACTAGAACTGATAAAATAGTGAGGGAATAAGAAATGTACAAATAGGTAAAGGGTAGAGCAAGGATGATAAGACAAAAAGATACGTTATCAAACTCAGGATAGCAAAAACTTACGGTAAGTTTTTTTTTTAAAAAAATTACATATATCTAGTAGAGGGATGACTTTTTGATTTATGTGACTCTCAGTGTAGCATCTAAAAGGCATAATAATATTATCCCACAATAATAAATAGTATTATCCCACGATAATATATTTTGTATGCACTTTGTACATGAAGGGCACTGTGCTGGAAGATGTAAAGTACTATTCTAATTTATGTATGTGAAAAGACTGTAAACCTCAGAGTGTGGTATAATTGACAGGTTGGCATCAATAGTAGCGGTAGCAGTAGAAGGAATAAACTATCACATGGCCTATGCTCTCATTACATTAATTTTTCAGATTGGCACTTGAAAATAGGTCCAAGGTTCATTGGTGTGTAGAGAAATGAGTACTCTCACACTGATGGAAGTATACATTTTGGGGGAGATAATAAGGCTATCCATATTGTAAGAAAATATACTTCTAGAATTTTATTTTAAGGATATGTTCATGAATTTATGCAACAATGATTTGGTAAGAATATTCATAACAGAACTATTTCTGGCAGCAATAGGTTAGGAATAATTTAATCACTGAGTTGCAAGTTAGTTAATAAATATAGTATATAAGATGGAATACTGGAATTCAATATTGACTTTAGAAAGAATAATAAGGATATTCAAGATATACTAAGTGAAAGATGCATAATATAAATCATGTGGAGTAGGATTCTATCAACATACACATTTACTCCTAGAGAAAAAAGACTGGAAGGATTTTCTTTTGGGGAAGCATTTTTTTTGGATGGTTTTATTGCTTACCGAATAATTGTGGTGTTTCTTCCTCATTTATTTTTCTATGTGTTCTATATTTTGTTGTGATGAACACAGATTTTCTTAGTAAGAAAAAAATCATTTGCTAAGGAAGCAGACGGTCCTCTTAGAGGAGTCATAACAACATGTTACACAGGTGACATTAGTAGTACAGGCAGGAGGCTCAGTGGGGGTTCAGAAGAGGTGAACACTGTGGCCACCTGGGGTGAAGGAAAAAGGCTCCACAGAGGGATCATTCAAGGCCTCTGTTGGAACTTGAGTTAGGGGATAAGATTCAACATCTTAGGGAGAATAAGCATCAGCAAGAATGAGGGGCACTGTGCACAAAGGAATGGGTGAGAATTCATAAAATGTGTTAGATAGATGACTTTTAGACTGTGAAATAGGGAGACAGACATATAACTGGAGCAATTAGATGAGTCTATTCCAGTAGATATAACAAAATATCATAGACTGGGTGACTTAAGCAATAGAAATTTACTTTCTCAGACTCCTGGAGACCGAAAATTCAGACCAAGGTGTCAGAAGGGGGTGGTTTCCAATGTAGCCTCTCTTTCTGGCTTGTAGAATATCACTTTCTCACTTCTCATTGTCCTCACATAGCCTTTTTTTTCTGCACATATGGAGAAAAATTTCCAGTGTCTCTACCTTCTTTTTAGGACACCACCCTATGGGATTAATGACCACCCATATGATTTCATTTAACCCTGATGATCTCTGTAAGCCCCTTTATTCCAAATTCAGTTGCATTAGCTTCAACATATGAGTTTGGGGAGGACACAATTCAGTTTCCTAATTTTTAGATTAAAGTGCTTGAGCCACTAACTGTCTCTGAATAAAATAATAGCATGTTGAAAGCAATGTTTCTGGGAGAGAAATATGACCTCAGTGTGTAGGAAGATACTTGGGAAATGTCTAGAATGTTTTCTGTATATTATTTCTTCCTTTATTTTACTTTTAAAACTGCTCTTTCTAATCTCTCCTTTCTTTTACATGCTATTTTTTGCTTTAAGGAACCTGCATGATACTCTTTGCCTATCACTTAGAAATGTATCCTTTCAGGCTGTCAGGATGTAAGAATAATGGACTATGTGTATGAAACAAATAGATAACTGGAAGAATAGGATTCAGATTTCACTGGGGGAACCTGGCTAATGACACGAATTCCAAAGAAGTTCAGAGTTTCAATGGTTGGTATTTTCACCAGAAGAATGAGGAACAGGACACATTTCAAAGTCCTTCACTCAGCTTCTCGTCTTGAAACCCCAGATGGTACTTGAATCCCATCTAATGCAGACTTTTCTCAACTTCTTTCATTGCTGTGGCTATTCTGGATGATTTAACTGTATTCTTCCCACCCACTCTTTGAACTTTGCTCGTGCAGCTCTCATCTCCAACTGGTGTAGGCTCATCTGTCATCAGTGCACCAAGGCGGCTCCCTCTCCAGGGTCAGTGGCTCTTCAACATCTTTCTTTGATTTATGATTGCCCAGGCCCCTCCTTCTATGGTCCCAAAGCATTTTTCTTCTCCTATGCATGCAACATTTCTCTGATTCTACAGAATCTCAAAATCAGTGTGTTCTCTCTCAGACACAGTTCTGAATGCATGAGCAGAAGCCGCAGAAGGAGAAACACGTCCTTTTAATTTGCAGAGGCAAGTAACTCATCCCTGCAGGGAAGATGAAGAGCTCCAAGATGTCTCTGTTCCCCACCCTCAGAAAATATAATCTGTGGAGACTTAAGCTCACATCATAGATTATACATCTAAGTCTTTTTTTATGTGAAAAAAGAAGACTTCTTTCTTAGAATTGGAGAGTCAGTGAAATTTTATAATTTTTATAAGGTATCCCATTTTAAAATAATTGCTATTTGTAGTTGGTTGATCTTACGAGAGAGAACTGGTTCATAAGCACAGTATTTGGTCAATTGCTGCCCACTGGCTGTCACTTAGCAGGAAGGATGGGTGCACCATAGACCACTCTTCCACCGCTCTTTTCTGATTGTCTCACCCTATTGAGGGGACAAAATAGTGCTTGAAAACTGCACTCTCCGAAGTGCTTTGTCTGCACTCAGACTTTCTCATCTTGTTTCCTATTACTGATTCATTTTCCAGACGCAGAATGCCATTATGTGCCTAGGTCCTCCCCTGCCAGGCTGCCTAGCTGTGTACTGTAGTTCCTAAATAGAGCTATGCAAATAATTATTGGTGGTAATTTCAGGCGCACGCATACCTGTTTCCTGCATTTTGGCAGAGCAGGTGTTTGGCCTGTATGGTCAGTAATAATCACATAGGCAGGTGTGTGGGAACTTCTTACTTTCTTCCTGTTTAGGGGTCTTGGAGCATGTTGACTAATCTTTCTAGCCCTGTTGACATTTTGCATGTGTATATGTGTTTTATGAATGTTTCTAGGACAACTGAGAGAAATTAAATAAGGACCTTCCAGATAGTTGTAAAGCTTATTAATTAAAAAAGAAAAGACTTTCTTTCTTAGAATTGGAGAGACAGAGACATCTTGGATCACAACTTTGATTTTGTAGTTGAAGAAACTTTCTCATAGTGAAGTGGACTGACTTTGTCTAAGGTCAAGCAGAAGCTAGAGCTCACCCAGGTCTCCTCGCTTCCAGGATGGTGTGTTTGTCCTTCTTGTTCCTTGCTCATTGAAGGAAAAATAGAGAACTGCCAGGGATGATCCCCTGAAGAGCATGGTGGCTCCTCATTGTTTAGGGAACTTTCACATATTCTTCTTATCCTTCTGTACCTCTGCCTAACAGTAAGAAGTGGAATGAATATTCAAATTAGGATGATCATAGTTCTCATCAAAGAGTTTCTTCTCTGGTACTTAATTATGCTGTGACTTCCCACCTTCCAATATGGCTGTCCCTTTATATTTCAGCTGCTGGATGACTGCTCTTCTCGTCTCAAAATGCCCCAACCCGCCAGAACACTGTACACACCACACGGAGAGCTGATTCAATCATGGGATGACATAGAGCGAGACATGGTCATCTGTGTGTCTGCAGGAGATAGCTTTGTGACCCAAAAAGGTATGAGTGGCAGTTCTTTTCCATCACATTTTTAAAGAAGTAAGGCATTCAGTCTTTTATTCAGAGAGCTTACTTATGAATTTTAAATCCCATGATGATTTTTAGTAAATGTGCTCCTCTGCACTTTTCTGCTTCATGTTACTAAAGTTAAGTTTATTTATTTATGTGCTGGAACCTCACTGGTAACACTGTTTGCTCCAAAAGATTCAAGCTTCTGTTACTCTTGAGCCTTATCCAACAAGTTATTGTAGAAGTACTAAAGGGCGTCATTTGAAGGCTTTCTTTCCCTTAGTATGAACCTTGAGGAAAGTGAGATTCCACTGACTTCCTACTTGCCAAGTTATTTAAAACTTAACATTTTATTGGGACCTCCCTGGTGGCGCATAGAGTTAAGTCTCAGCACTATGAAGCTATCGGCAGCCATTGCCACATGAGTTCAATTCCCTGGGCCAGGGAGTGATCCACATGGTGCAGCAGACCTCTCCTGTCTCACCTACTGCTCCCCTCGCAGTGTATTTCAGTAGTTCTACCTGTTCTGCTCTCCACTCTGTCTCCGGTGAATCCTCTCACCCTCCTGCACCTCTGGCATACACCCCATCTCTTGTATGCATTAATAAATAAATTTAAAAAAAACTTCACAGCTTATTAATAGCAACTATATTGTTTGTGGGTTTCCTTTTTCAGTATTATGTTTGTTTTAGTAGCTTATCTATTACTTGATGCTCTTCCCTGATAAATTATAAAAATTGAGAGAACACATAATTTTTATTAACTCTTGTCCTTTATCTTATTTATCCTGAAAGATTTAAATCCTCTTTCTGTGGGTAGGTATGTATTAGCAAAAACATTTTCAGGAAATTCTGAAAAAAGCTGATATCATTTTGAAGGAAATTGAAAGATTAGGAAGTGAATTACCTGGGAACCCTAAAATCACTAATGCTAGATTATTTATTTTAAAAGTCTATGAAATTATCATTATTATCATATATATAATTACTATCTTATATCTTATATATAAGGTATAATAACCAAAAACTTTAAATAGTTACAATTGTATTTTTACATTTAGCCCAGAAGGGAAAATGTATATGAACAAAGACTAAAAAGTAGGAAGACAATAATTTATTGAGATACCTAGCACAGTTCTGAGTGATGCTACGAATATTCCTCCAACACCACCCAACATCATGAAAGAAGGTTCAGTCTGTATTGTTTCCATTACCTAATGCCCCACTCTTGGTGACCCTCACTGTCTGGTTACATACCAACTGAGGCTCTTATCAGCAAGTATTAGTTGACTTGCTTAATGTGTTGTGAAAGTGTCTACCCTTTGCAAAAATCAAAGTCAGGGTTCCTTCCCGGAGAGAGTGTTCAATCTAAGCATGTGAGCACTTTTGAGATATTACAAAACAGTTGAATAGAAAGCAAACAAGGGGTGCAGTAGGCAGAACATTTCCAGTCCCTTCAATATCCAGGCTTAATGGTTCAAACTCTTGGATAGACTTCTGTTGTCTGGAACCCACCAACCTGGGCTAACTGAGTTCACTGGGCCTGTCAGATAAATAAAACTAAATTGGTTTCAGGCATTCTAGCCAAAAGGGTATCCAAAACAGAGAGAAATGCGGGCTGCCTTCCCAGAAGCAAGCTTATTACCAATTTCAAAAAAGTCATGAAGGGAAGACAGAAAATTGGTAAGGCAAATATTATCATCATTGCCATGTTCCTCCATGTTAGTTCTTTGGATCTTTGACAAAGCTATGTAGATAAACATTCATGTTTGCATCTTCAACCTTTTAATCACATGGTTTTACTATGATGTGAAAGTTGATTCTTTTCCTTTGAAAGTAGGTCCCCATTTTACCTTCATGGTGAAAGGAGCAGTGGTTTTTTCCAATTGTCTAAATTCTTTTCAGCAGGTGATATAAGTTCCAGGAAATCTGACTGATAGCAAAGAATCTAATTTAGTTGTTCTTTAGAAACTTATTTTGTTATAGGAGTTGCAATTATATTTTTTTTCCAAAATAGTTAAGTTAGAAATAATCATTTAGTAGAAGTCTAAATATTCAGGATGCTTTGAATAAGAAAGAAGAGAAAGCTACTAGCATGTATACATTTATGAAGGGACAGGTGATTAATCATTCCACTTATAATATTTCTGTGACCTACTGTCTTAATAACTGTTCAGTAGAAAATAAGGCAGCCTGGGAGTTTCAAAACTAAATACTATATAATAACTTGTTTTATGTTCTATAACATAAAAACATTCAGCATGAGGAAGTTACACGTCAAAGAATCACATTGGGTTTTTCTAAAAATTAAAATGCTTTGGCAAAACAAATCAGACACTGTTAGAATAGTTTCTTTCACACAAATCCCCAACAAAATTAAAAGAGTGTTTTATGCAATTTGTCATCAAATGTAAGTACTGTTCTCATTGCTGTGCATACCATCTTTTTAGTAGGTTCAGTTTTTAGACCACTCTTAGGTTGGCATCAAATTTAGGCTTTATAAAAAGCCTGGAAGGAAGCCCTCATAGCAACTGCCATTCTGTAGAAATCCAAAGAATGTCAACACGTATCTGATGTGATAAGCAGTGAAGTGTGGGATGAGAGTCCAGCATGGGAGTCAAGGATTTCTGAGGGATCTTCAAGTTTTTTATCATCCTAGACTTTTAATTATTTTCTATAAATACTTTGACTTGTCTATTAAAATTATGTGTGTGTGTATATATATATATATATTATTATTTTTTTTAAACAGAGTTAAAGCAACTAATGGACATCAGAGCAAATTATGCCAGAATCCGAAGGCTGCAGGACCCTCAAGCCACAGACATCATGGTGTCGCCGTCCACAAAGCTGCTATCTCTGGTATGTCGCCACAGTTAATTCCTGTCAGAACCATTATATTTCATTCTGTATTTCATTGGGGTAGCTATGCCTACATTCTCATGCACACACTATAATATGATGATTATTCATCTTAATTTTATGCAGTCTCTTTTAAAAGTTATTACCCTCTACATTTTATATAGAGTGGCATTTAATGCCTCAAATCTGTTCTTGGAAAGGTAATAAAATTAGATAAAGCAATGCCAGTAAAATAACTATTTTAGGTGTATTTTCTCCCAGAAAAAAAAAAAAACTGATTTTAATTCAAAAAATGTAAGCACACATAAAATATTCGATAACAAATGTTTCTGATCACCTAATACTAAATTTGACCCAAACTGAATTTTTCTGGCTTAACCTCCATATTTGCCAATTTCCCATGTTAAAATCCTACGTTAGCTGAATGAAAATGAAATGGCTGGTGGCCACCCAACACCACATGAATGGATCTTTCCTCCTCCAATTTCCCTTCTGTTTGGCCGGTAGTTACACTGAAGGATTCTCGATGGAGCACAGCTAGGTGCTGTTCATGAGGATGCAACTGAATAATTGTTGACATTTATTCATTAATGAAAAGTGATAGGCTGTGTCCTTATTACAGAAAATTAGGGAAAAGATTTCTGCACTACTTAAAAAAAAATACTCATACAAAGACTGTCTTTTTTTTTAAGGGACCAATTCTAAAACTTAGCAATACTAAAACTACCAGTCTTACAGGAAAAGAAATTACCTATTAGTTTCTTCTTGCAAAGGAGAAAGGATCATTAAAAATAATAATAACGAGAGTGATAAGTCAGAGTTTGGTTTCTGTACCTAGTGGAAAATTTCCAGAGAAATGCTCTTCTTTCTCTTTCTCTGAAAGCCACTCACAGCTCTGGCTGAATATAAATTGCAGCCTAGCTAGGTGTGTACAGAATGGCTCAGCTGGGCTCACTCCACAATCCACCACTTTAATGTGATGCAGGGAGGCAGTAGATCATTTCTACTGAAGGGGCTCTTGGTAATCTTTTCCAAAGGCCCAGTATTTACTCCTAGTCTGCAAATCAGTAGGGCTGCATGAATAAATTCCTGCTGCCTCTGACACCTCTAAAAGCAGAGCGCACTGAAGTGAAATTTCACATGTTACATCAACAGCAGCTTGCCCTTTTGCAGGCGTTTTCTACATGTTGAGTGATGTTAGTGAGGGGAGGGCTTTCCCAAACAGCTCTGCGACACCTAGGAGAAAAAGATCGCACGTGACCTCCGTTTTTCTTTTTCTGCTTTTAACAAGAAAGTTGAAACAGAGGTTAAAGAACTTGCTTCCTGGTTAGAAAGTGGGCCAACGGGGTTCTTACCTGCGGGGCTTCTTTTTCCAACCACTGGATCACCACAGGACTGTTTATTTTTTCAAAATTCCTTGAAAACAAAGGCATTTCTGTAGGTGCAAAAATACCTATCACTTTGCTGCCAAGGAAAAGTTGATTTGCTATGAAAATGGCATAATTTCACCCTGGATCAAATGTGCAAATTCTTGTGAAGTCTTCAGTGTTGCATGTGAATACGCTCTAAGCGAAAATTGGTAATATCACACAACGCTGTATTGAGCACCAGGAGACATAAGGCAAAACTCTTAACTGAACTTTTCTATTACTAGTAAATGGGATTTTAGATGTAATATAACAGTCATCAACACATCACATTTTACCAGCAAGGTGGTGACACCCACTCTGTGGATGGCGGCTGGCCCGGCTAGCTTGACAGTTCATAGCCACTTTTAACTTAGCCTAAGAACAGCCACTCTTTCTTTATTGCTGAGCCTTCCACTGTGGTTGGCTGGAACATGGAGTGGGGAACTGTTACTCCATCTTTAGCAAGGACTATAGGATAAGAATGTTGCAATTCTGTTCAACCCCCCTGGGCTTTTAATAAACCCAGTCTGTTCCTTGGGGGATCTGTTTATCAAATTTGAATCAGCCTCATATGTATAAGTCAGATTTCAATATTTTTCTATCAACTGGAAACCATTTATTATTAAGTACTAAAGCAACCATCCCCAAGCCCACGGTCTTCTGTAGAAATTTATTTCCTGCTAGTTCACAAACGCCCTTAAGGTGATCCAGATGTTAATCAACAGCCTACCAGCACTTGTGATTGTCCTCAGGAGGATTCTTCTGCTCCACCTTTAACATTTTATGCCTGATTGAGTGTTGGGGTGGAAGTGCCTCTTTCTAATCTAGCTAACTCAAAGAAATAGGCTTGAAAGTTTGACAAGCATTTTGAGATTAACTGACAGCATTTATAAATAAGAAGCATTTATCTGAGTGCTTATGTCAGCTTTATAAAATGGGACACATTAGGACTGATTCAAAATGCAGAATTTGTTTTCTAAGTGATAACCCTGAATTTCCATTTTGTTCTTGATTGTTTGTAATAACAAAATATTTTGTGTGTGAATCAAGAAGACAAAGCAACCAATAAACAAAGCAGAAACAAAAAGAAATTTGTTCTCTTCCTGGAAAATCACTTAGTAATTGTGGCCCGTGGCTGTTGCAGCTTTTGTGAGCTAACCTTTAATAATAATAGCCCAGGTGTTTTGAGTGCCATTGAGATTCTTGATTCACTGAGGCTGCAGTTTATTTTCTGACATCATTTGGAAGGGAGCAATCAAAACACACAGTCTGTGTTATTCCAGATTATCACAAAATCAGATGCAAATGTCCTCAGTTAAATGGAGTTTGGCCCTAACAGAGATTCTCAGTTGTTTTCATTAAACCAGTGGCTCTAATTCCCTGCTGCCTGTGAGTACATCTCAACTCCTCCTCAGGTTAGAGAAGGAAAAAAAATAGCAGCAGTGTTAGTCTCAACACAATAAACTAGAATTCTACATAAGTGGCATGGTTTTGGGCTGCTTGGACTTACATAACTGCAAGGCAAGATCAACAGAGACCACTCAGGCAAGTGCTGATGAAAGTAAATGGACCGACCTCATAATAGGGGCTGTGCAGAGGAGGCCTGCTGCCAGCTAGAGTGCTTGCTAACTCTGCGAATCTGCAATGTGAAAATACTATCCATAGGCTGTCACCCTGTACTGTATGTGCAAATAGAAATATATGAGGAGACATGAAGCACTTTTGCCCATGGATCAACTGGATGGAGGGAGGGAGAAAGAAAGGAAACAGGAAATTATATTTATATGGCAAGGAAAGTGATTCTGAATTAGAGGTGCTATCACTCATTGTGTGCTGTATTCCTCTGCCAGTTTGAGGGTAAATAGAAGGTTCAGTCAACATGCTGGGCCTATTAGGGCCTAGCCTGTCAGTACTAGAAGTCTTGAACTTGGGAATTGATATGGGGTTTTAGCCTGGGTGTAGAGGCTCACTCAGACCAAGGGAGACATTTGGGTGGTTAGTCTCTAGGCACCACCACTGGGTAGCTGTGTTTTAAAAAGAAATTTCCCAAAGGCATACTTTCCTTAAATAGCCCTGCAGATTGCAGGAGAGAGATGGGAGAGAGGAGGGACCCTCCCCAGATATTCTAGGGTTAGTGCCCCAAATGTATGCGATTTGAATTTGTCTTTTTATTTCTACCCTTCTGTTTTGCAACCAACCCAGGCCAGGTAGGTTCACCATCAGTTCTAACAGTTTCAGAGAACTTTAGGGCCCTTGGCATCATCTTCACGGGTTTTAATAGTAAACAGAGGAAATAAGCCAGCAGGGAGACAGCAACTTGAGCCCCCTCCCCCGGGGTGACGCCCCTCTTTAGCCCCTTCCTCCTTGGCACAGGTGTGCACACTTGCACACTCATGCACACCACACATGCTCCAGGTGTCCACAAACAGGCAAGCATACCCCACACCCACACACCTTCTGAGTTAACACGATCAAGGCCACAGGTGACAGCCAGGAGGCAAGTGGTGTAGAAAGCCTGATATACTCACCTTACACCTTCTCTCCCTCTTTCTTCTCTCACTCTTTTCTCCTCAATCTCCTCTGCCTTTCTCTTCTTATAGGTCTTTAAATCCCATATTTCATTATTTATTTATTTATTTATTTATTTATTTATTTATACAAGCACTGGGTACAGTCAGAAGCGCGGGAGGGTGAGAGAATTCACCAGAGCCAGAGCGGGGAGCAGAGCAGGCAGAAGGACCGAAGTACACTGCTGAGGGGAGCAGCGGGCGGCAGGAGAGGTCTGCGCGCCATGTGGGACCCTCCTCCGGTGGCCGGGGAGCAGCCGGGGATCGAACCGGCGCTGCAGAGGCTGCGGGCAGCTTTGCAACCCAGCGCTCAACCGCTGTGCCACCGGGGAGGCCCCATATTTCATTTTAAAAACAATCCTCCCGGGACCAACTTGTGGACCAGCCAGGGATGCTACCTTAGAACGCTTCTCAAACTTTAATGTGCTGAAGAAACATCTGGGGCAGGGCAAAATACACAGTCCCAGATGCTGGCCCAATGATTCTTAGTCTCTACACCTGAGGTTGGGTTGGAAGTTTGCTCTTAACCTGCCCCTGAGACTCATCCACCACCAAGGCTCCCATAGTCCTCCATGGTAGCCCCCTGTGCTAAGTACCAGTTTCAGGAACACTGTTGACCCTTTTCCTTGTGTTCAGGGGCTGCGAAGGCAAAGAACCATTTGCTGTATGTGTTCTCATCACCATTTCCTTGAGAAACAATGGAAATATTCTTGGGTGGGGACTAACTATCCAGAAATTGTAACCAAGACCATAGATGATGCAGGTAAACAAGTGAGTTGGAGGTGCTGGAGCTTCCCGTGCTAATTAAGCTGCCTCCAGGGCTGATAAAAGCTTTGCTATTTTAAAGGTCATAGGAATAATGTCAGAGCTATGGTACATATATGTAGGCAAAATAGAGTTAAATCAGACTTTTTTCCGCCTCCCATTGCTATACTGTATGGCCGGCATCTGCATCTTGCCCTCCTCCTAGCTTGCTTGGGTGCTGCCCGAGAGGTGTGGGTGTGGGGCACACGCATCTGTGATTATGGACCTCTGGGTCCTGAGAGCACGGCGTGAGCATAGCAGTGCGGTCACCTGTGCCAGGGGGCGAGGGAATAAAAGGGCAGCGTGACTCTGAGGGGTGATTACAAGACCACACGAGACTGAGATGGAGAGGCCAGAGGTCG